ATTTTGTATTTTTTGCAGTTTTGATGACAGTCTCGTGTCTTCCCGGCGACGCAAGGAGCGATCCAAGCGTTCGCATCGCAAATCGCCAGCCACTGGCCGGCGTCAGCACAAATACCGTTATAGGGAGGAGACCTCACACTCGAGCTCAAGGCGCCGGCATCGCGATCGCGCCAAGGACGAGCGCGACAGCGGGCGCAACAATCGCCAATCGCAACCTAAGGTAAAAACTTTTCATTTTCTAAACCTTAAACCATGCAAAGCAAACGAACGATTTTAGGCTGAGCAATTCAACAATAATTTTAATTAAAAAACAAAGAAAACACCAAATTCATTTATTGATGGTAAAAGAAAGATTAAGCAATTAGTTATTTAAGAAAAAAAAATCGAAATCGTATACACACACACATGGCTACGTATCTATGTGTAAACCTGATCAAGTTTTCTTCGTATATATATTTAAATGTGCTCACCTTAGCCGCTTGCCAATTTTGTTGCAATTTTGAATGAATGTTGTCGTCCTCCCGATCAGTTATCAAATCACCGTGCGAGACACGATGCTGTTCTTTAAGCGTTATTTGGAAAAGTCGCAGCTAGCGGCCAAACAGTTTGAATCTGCGCAGATTCCTTGCTACATCAAAATGCGCGAGATTCCCGGACCCCAACGCATCGATCATCATCGAGATCTGTTGCTGGAGTGCTCCTCGCTGCGCTACATGCCCTACACAGAGGATTGGATTGTCATCGAGTACTTTGCGGATCACGATAGTGATTACCTCGTAAGCCTCCAGCCTGATTGTCGTAATACCTTCCGTTCGTTCCTTCATCAGCTGTCTTGAGAGGCAACTGTTTCAATAATAAGCGATTGCAATGCATCCACTATCTTGTTCTGACCTGTGTTGTCTCTCTCTCTACACTCGGAAAGAAAAACTCTTGTCTGATTTTGTTTTCGTTTTCTTCGTACACTTACTCAATTTCCCCCACTATATATGCTTGATGACTCTCGCAATCGCTCATCTTATCGCCTTGCGGTGCTGGCTGTGCTAATTTTGTGATTAAATTGTAATCATTTGCGAGCTAAATATATAATCAATCTCAATTCTCTTTGTGGCTCGGCACACGAGAAACCACACACGGATTAAATAGGACAAGAATCGTCAGACTCGAGCTAAAAATCACCGTTGATTGTGAGATTTTGATAGATCATTATGTTGAGCAAAGAAAAAATTAAAAATAAATGTTTATCAGCAATTATGATATATATCCATGTTCCACCAAATCAAGGTTATATTTACCTGAATTCCAGGTCTGATTAAACGACAAACTAACCTATCTAATCTTGATCAACCAAAGCATTTCGTTAGAATATTAAGCATGACTTTGACAAGTGATATCAAGGTGCTGTTAACTCGTGGGACTCAAGTATCTGATAAGGCGAACGCGATCGACCATCTCGAAATATAAACTAGATCAATTGTATAATATATATGTATAAAGAGAGATAGAAAGAGAGAGAGTGTGTGTGTGTATGTGATGATAATCTGTTGAATTAATTGCTCTGCCGCGGGTCTGTCTGTCCTCGTTATTTTCGTTCAATTGATCATTTGACATTAACGCTCGTTGGGTGGGGCGGGCAGTGGCCAGCAGTCAGTCGATGGCAATTCAGTGGACGAGCATTTGTCGACTGTCGCATTCAAGAAGCTCATCAAGATTCAGTTCTTTCGGCAGTTGGAGCAGCAATACAAACGGCGGCAATATGCCCAGGAGGCGACGACGGCGGCGGCGTCCACTTTAAATGGCAACCGTAATGGGGACAATGGGAATGGGAATGGGGCTCTGGTCAGCCGTTGTCGGCTATTGAAGCGTCAACGTAATCTATTCGATTTGGCTGCACTTTGCGATATGCCCGTGGACCGTTATACCGGCGATAGTTGGATTCTCGATGAGTATTTCGTCGATCACACCGACGACTATTTAGTGAGTGAGCGAACGGGGAACCGGGAGAGCAAACACTCACTCACACTCACACTCTCTCAGTACTGCATGATGTGGGCTGCATGATTTGCCCCCTACACAACTCGCTCTCCCATACACACACACACACATACGCTCTCACTAATCACCCACTCTCTCTCTCTCTCACACACACTCTCTTACTCTCTGGCTGGCCAGCTGATCGGATGCGCGCGCAGCTGCTCCTCCTAGCGCCTGTATTTTGCCATTTGCTCAAAAAGCGTTTTCGCCTTGGGGGCCGACGCCATTGGGGTATAAAAATATACCACACACCAACAGTAAAACGGAAAATCCACAATGCTCGGCATGCTTTTTCGTTTGAGCATTTTCCAAATCTGAAACTGAAACAGAAACAGATTCAAATCTTCGTTTGTCGGTTGTGTATCGTTCTCGGCCAACGTACGTTTGTTGAGGCCTTTGGCTAACGTGTAACGGTACGTGTTTCTACACGCGTCTATCTCTCTCTCTCTCTTTCGCTCTCGCTCTCTATCTCTCTTTTTTTGTCATACCTCCATCTCACTCCAGCTCACTAACTGTCGCGAATTTGTTTATAATTTGACGTGTGTTGCGTGCGTGTGTGTGTGTGTGTGAGTCTGTATCTGTGTGTGTGTGTGTGTAGGGAAAATCTATTTGAAATACATGTTTAGCGATTACTTCACTTGAATTGTCCAAAAGGAAAACGCATTTGCCCCTGAGACCAACTGCAGATATATAAATAAAAAAAACAACAACATATAAAACAATTATAAAGAGCATTTGTTAAGCATCGAGCGTGACATAATCAGGCAGCCCAAGGAACTAAATAAAAAACGAAAAACAAAAACTTGAACAAATTTAAGTGCTTTAAAAATAAAATCGAAACAGCAGCAAGAACAACTACAAAAGAGCCGCACATACACAAAAAAAAAAAGAAAGAAGAAGAAACCGTAAAACATTAGATAAAAAACATGTATTATAAAGTATAAAGTACTTGCGTAAATTGTCGCCCCAAAGACAATTCGTGGTCCAAATGGGTTTTTAATGTGCCATGCGTTTAGTTGAATAATAATCAGAAGGCCGAGCTGTAAAACTGTAAAATCGAGGCCCCAAATTTGCACTCAATCAGGTCTGAAGGAGGTGCATTTCGTTAAGCAGAAGAAGAAGAAGAAGCAGAGGCAGAGAGTACAACAGGGCGGCCAACCAAATCAAAACAAAAACCTAAAACTAACAAACACAAGCAACAACAGCAACAACAACAACAATTCAAATTACACAAATGGAGCACACACACACACTCATGAAAATGTATCTATATGCTGTATACACACACAAGTGCATATGTACATATATAGTGTATATGCATCAGAGATCAACAGGGATTATTCATCAACAGCTAGCCGGGCAGAGTTCCATCATGTTGATCTATGATGATGCTGCTGCCTTCTGCCTTCTGCCTCCTGCCCTCTGCCTGCTGTCTGCCTCCTCTTCTGCTTGTGTTCGCCAAGTTATTTTTGTAATGTTTGGTTTTATTTTTGGTACGCTCGTTTATTTCCACAAAAATATAGCAAAAAGTCCAAGCACACACATATTGCCCATATAAGAAAACGAGCCCAAGCTATAGGGAGAGGAAGAGATTTTTCTTAGTTTCCAATACACTCGCACGTTCTGTGTGATATTTAGACCTGACAGGCAGAGATTTGCAAAGGTACAGCAGTAAATGCTCGTGCAATGAACTTTATAAGAAAGTACGCAAATTGTAAAGTTTACTTCATTTTTATAAACAATTTACAGTTGTAAAAACTCAGTTTTCTTTTTCTGAACAAAATCTGAAATCTAAAATGAAATTGGCATTAAAAAACCAACTGTTTACCTAGCTGATTCATGGCAAGAGGTAATACTGTACTATGCACACACACACACAGACACATATGTGTGTGCATGTATACACTACACAACTACTGTGCGCCAATTTACGTGCGTTGTCGTCTTTCTTGCTTGTCTTTGTTAAAAATAAAAACAGATTTCGAACCGAGAGGCACACAGAGAGGAGGCTGGCAGAGGCAACTAGCTAAACGAGATCTATATACAATATATATGTATGTATATATACATACATAGGTATATATAGAGAGATGTACTTTCGTACAGCCAGGGCCGTCACTCACTTGGACACATGTAGTCGCCCCATTGGGATGCGCTCGTGCTCCAGCAGCTCTCCGCCTACACCACGCTGATTATACCTACATATATATATATAGGGCAAGGTATTGGGCGTATTGCCGGGTGGGCAGGCAGATGTTAACCGTTAACCAGGAATTGGCAGGCTGATCTGTTTTGCTTTGGTCTCAGAAACGGCGCCTCAATCAGTGAGCTCATTGCTGCATACGATATATATACATATATGTATATTATATATACATATACATAAATATCTGCATGTCGAATGTCGATTCAGGTGTAGTCAACAGTTACATACATGATACATATATAAATTCATGTGTATTATATACATATATCTCTGCTACAAGCACAAAATCACTTCGAGCGAAGGAAATTTGTTTTTCCTTTTCGTATTGTTTGTAGTTTGCCATTGTTGTTGTTGTTGTTGTTGCTATTGTTGGCAACTTGCTGAACAATTAATAAGTCAAATCGAAACGAAACGACTAATTGCATTTGCCAAAATGCCAATGAGGCATTGACATTGAGCGTACAACCTGTCCCCCCAGACCAGACACCCAGACCCCCCAGACCCACCGTTCGTTCTATGGCACCCAGCCCCGAGAAATGTATCGAGCGATCTTCAATCTTCACAGGGCTATCGAGCAGGTTTCTTTATAGCAAACGCCAGCAGAGTCGCGAGTCGCGTCGAGCAAGTCGAACCTAACGCAATTCATTCACATTAGGGATTGATGATAGAGCCCAGTGAAAAGTTAGATAACATATTCAGATAGATCGCACCACTCATATAAATATATATATCATACATATATATATATCGCGATTACTGGCAGCCCCGCGATGTCTTTCGAACTAAGCGAACTGATCGCACTCAGCTGCCCGGACTTGACTGCCCAACCGAACGGCAGCGGCCAGATCCAGTTGATGATCGATTCGGAGCGACGGCTGAGCATCAAACAAATGACGGCCACGGAGCTGGCCAATATGCGTGCCGCGGCTGCCGCCGAGGCCGAGGCACGGGCGCGTGCTGAAGCCGAGGCCAAGGCGCGCGCTTTGGTTGAGCAGCAGGCGAGCCTGGCCGCTGAGGTGGTGGCTCAGGCGCGAGCGCGTGCCGCTCTTGAGGCGGAACAGCAGCTGCAGCGGGCCAGGGAGCAGCAGGAGCGCCGTCAAGAGGCAGAGCGACAGAGACAAGCGGATGCCACGCCCAGTCCATCGCCCAAGGGCGTGCTGCCGTCCATTGAGGCGCCGCGCGATCGCATCACATCACTGCCCAACATCCTGGATGATGCCATGGAAATGCATTTGCTGAACGCAATCGATGGCGGCGGCGACGGCGGCGGTGGCAACTCGGATGACTCCTCGCCCACCAAGAGCACTTCGCACCTGGCCGACTCAATTGAGATGCTGCGCATGCAGCGGGCAGCTCGCGCGGCACGCTCCAAGAATCACAGCCGAGAGCGCAGCATCTCGCCGGCTGCAGCTCGTCTCCATGAGAGGAGCGCAGCACCCGACCGCCTGCACAGCTCCAGCATCAGCAGCATGGACTCGGCCCGCGCGAGTGGCAGCCGTCGCGGCAGCACGGCCAGCGCCATGAGCAGCGATCCGGCTGCGGAGCTGGCAGCGCCGCCCAAGTTTCCAATCTCCAAGACGGTTTCGGTGCCGAACATGAGTCGTCGCCGGAGCAGCTTGACTGCACTCTTTCCGGGACCTTCGCCGTTGGTGGCGCCCGAACCGATGCTGCACACCAATCCTGAGACGCCGCCGGAAACGGAGGCGCCCGGTCGGGGCGGCCAGGAGGATGGCTATCGTGACATACCCAGCGGCAAAATGGTGCATCGCACAAAGACTCCGCCCCCGGTGGGCGCCAATTTGGGCGTATGCCTCAAGCGGGTGACAGCGCCAAGCGGCTCGATTACCATCAAGCCCAAGGACTCGCCCATGCTGGGCGTGGTGCTGCGCAAGGTGGAGAAGAAGACGGTGCCCCAAAAGAGCGTGCTGGACGACGAGAAGCCGCTGTATCATCTCTCGATTGTGCGCAGCGACAACAAGGAATACAAGCCGGCGCCCAAGCCCAAGCCCAAACCAGCTCCGCCGGCGGTGAAGCCATCGCCGGGCGGCATTCTGACCGGGCCACAGGTGGTGCGCACTGCCAACCGGCCGGCGGCAGTGGCCAAGCCGCAGCGACCACAGCCCGGGGTGCCAGTGACCATAACGAAAATCGAGGGCGATAAGATAATAATAATCAAAAAGATAATTGTGCCGAAGAACAGTAAGATACCGGAGCAGTATCTGCAGGTTGGTTCTGTCTGTCTGGTGATCTGTTGTCTCGTTCAGCGTCTAGTGTCAGTGGTTGTCTCTCTCTCTCTCTCTCTCGCTACCCCACCTCCTCCGTCTCGTCTCACACAGCCTCTCTCTCTCTCGCTCTTTCTCTGTATCGAAATGTGTTTGAATTTGCCTCGATATTGCTGCTGCTATCGATATATTTATCGATTAACAAAACCATGCTCACACACACACACGCACACGCACACACGTTGTATTGAGCTCCTGGCTCGGAACTAGTTCACATAATGAGCGTGTTAACTCCTTCCATTTAGTTCGCGCGCGCGTTTCTTCAGTTGTTTAAATGAGTCAAGATGCTGGCAAAGCCGTCGCCGTCAAATCAACCCAGCTGGAGGCACAGCCCCCAATGGGCGCCGCTGCCAGCCCCAGCGTCAACGCAGTGAAGCCCAGCGAAGAGGCATTCGTGTCGTCGTCATCGTCGCCGTGCATCATGCAAAAGCCAACACCGCCGCCCGCGAGCGGCCAACAGTTCTTTCAGGTCGTTTCGCCGCAGTTCGCGTCGGTGCTCTCGTCCAGCTTGCCAGAGACCAAGTGTGCGGTGCGCTCGCCCATCTCATCGCCGCTGGCGCTGCGCAAGAATCGGCCGCTGCTGCCCGCCAGCCCGAAGTCGACGCCTCCGCTGCCGCGCAAGCACCACACCATGGCCTATAATGCGGCCACGGGAACCATCACGACACCCGCCCGCCCCATGGCCACCATAGCCAGCAGTCCAGTGTCCAGCATATCGCTGTCGTCGTGCAGCTCGCCGTCGTCGTCGCCGCCGCCGCCGCCGGTGCCGTGTCGTGCACCCAAGCAAAAGGCGAGCACGAGCCAGGGCAAGATTCCAGGCGAGATCGACTTGGACAAGCTGCTGCAGCAGCAGCAACAGCTCGAGGAGAAGTCGGCGGCGGCCACCAGCAGCGCCAAGCTGGATGCCAATTTCTATGACGCCGAGATCGAAATGATGAACAAGTATCTGAAGAGTTTGCCCGACTACAGCGAGCTGGACCGCAAGCTGCATAAGGAGTTCCAGGAGTGCGAGGATCTCTATGACCGGCTCAAGCGCCAGCAGCAACAGCAGCCGCTCACCAAGTCCAATTCGCATCAGTCTGTGGCGGCCAAAACTGCGTTGCCAGTGGCTGCCGGCGGCCTATCGAAATCCTCCTCGATCAACTTTGCCAACAATCTGACCTCCAGTCGGGCACCTCGGCTGGCCTATCCCTCGATCTTCGCCCAGTCCAATGCCAGCGAGCAGCCCAAGCTGCAGCGCAGCATATCCAGCTCCAACATGCCCCTGGGCACGCCCAGTTGCGGGCCGTTGCGCCCACAGGAAGCGCCAAAGAGCGGACTGCATAGCGACTCGAATCTGTCGCTCAACAAGCAGCTGATGAACGACTTCTGGAGCGAGAATCTCTGCAGCTCGAGCAAGCGGCAGACGCCGAAGCGCACGTTCTGGAACTATGAGAAGATCTGCGGTGCCCAGCTGGGCGATGCTGGGCAGCCCTTCAAGGTGGATGCCAAAACGGCCAAGAAGCTGGCCATATTTGATCCCACAGTTGCTGAGGCGGCGCAGAAGGAGCTGCAGAAGCAGCAGCCGGTCCAGCAGCAACCGCAGCAGCAGCAGCCACAGCCACAGCCACATAGCCATCGCCTACAGAAGAACGCCTCGTTGTCGCACTTGGATCTGAAGGTCAGGCAGGCCGTGACCAAAGACGATCTCTACAAGCTCATCGTATGCAGCGAACAGTCGCCCACGTCAGCAGCGACGGCGTCGACGACAACGACGACGACGTCAACGCCTTTCACCAGTCGCGTGCCCGTCAAGCAGCAGCAGCAGCAGCTGCAGCTGCAGCAGCAACAACAGCAACAGCAACAGCCGTTGCCAGCTGCTCAGCAGCTGAACAAGAGCGTCTCCATGACGCACGTTTCCGGCATTGCGACGGCAGCGACGCCGTTGCTGCGCAGCTCCAGCCGCACGCACATACCCTGCTACATGAAGCATCTGCCATCGCTCAGCCGCAGCACATCCAACTCCGCGATATTGCTGAGCACGCCAGCCACAGCAGCAACAACTGGGACGACGCAGGCGCGCAAGGAGCCGCCTACAGTAAAACAGCAGCAGCAGCAGCAGCCACAGCCACAGCAGCAGAAGCCAAATGCTGGCGTGCTGAAGAGCTCCAGCAGCTCGTGTGTGCCGTCGCCACGCTGTGCCGCTGCGCTGTTTCGCCGGCCCACGGAGCCGGCTAAACAGGCTGGCATTGGTGCGGCTGCGCCGTCGCTGGCCACGCCCATTGCGGAGGCAACGAACGAGACGAGCGGCTCGCTGGAGCGCAAGTCGGAGAAGAGCAACAGCACTGTGAGCAGCAGCAGCTTCACTGTGACCAACTGCTGCACCACGCATCTGCCGCAGCTCTCAAAGTTCACCTCATCCTTTCACATACCCTCCACAGTTGAGCACAATGCCAACTTAGATCAGCCAGCAGCAGCAGCATCAGCATCAGCTGTTGCAGCGCCAACAACAACAACAGCAACAGCAGCGGCAGCAACAACAACGACATCGGCAGCGACAAAGCGTCAAAAAGACGTCGACAACAAGCTAGAGAAATGTCTAAATGACATGCTAAAGCTAAAGAGCAATAACAACAATGCAATTATGTCACAATCGCTGACAGCTGAACACAAAGAGGAAAGCAGCGCCGGCGGCAGCAGCAGCAACAACGCCAGCAAAATCGCCAGCGAATCGCAAATACCCGTGCCAGTGCAGCTGTACGATCCGCAGAAGCCGCTAATGCAGCAGCAACAGCAGCAGCAGCAGCAGCAGCAGAGGATGGCATATCCCATAGGCAAATCCAACTCTACGTCGCAGCTGCCGATGGGCTATCAGCGTCTACTGCAACAGCAACATCAGCCACAGCAACAACAGCAGCAGCAGCAGCAGCAGCAACAACAACAACCGCAGCAGCAACATTATCCACAACAAAAGCGTCCATTTTTAAACTGGAACTCGTTTGCCTGCTCAGTCATGAACGGCAGCAGCGATCCCTTCCAGCAGCACCAACACCAACACCAACAGCAGCAGCAGCAACACCAGCCACACAAGCTGCAGCAATCTTACTCCTCGTCGCATGTGGCCAAACAGGCGCCCAAGTCCAGCTCCGGCCTGGCCATGTTTCTGCAAAAGAACACCAACAAGGAGAACAAATTCGGCCAGCCCCAAGCGCAGCAGCAGCAGCAGCAGCAGCCCCCAGTGGGCACGGCGCCACAGATGTATGGCAGCAGCTATCAGGCACTGATTAATAATGCGAAGCCCGTTTATCCGCGGACTGGCGCTGCGCCGCTGACCCACTCGGCGTCCTTCAGTGCGGCACAGCGGCCCAGCATGATGCAGCCGCATAATTATGGCTACGGCATGATGAGTCGCAACTATTACAATCTGCCCAAGCAACAGCAGCAGCAGCAACAACTGCAGCAACAGCAGCAGCAGCAACCACATGAGCGTAAACCACTGCAAACCTTCGATCCGTATGCGTACCTCAAGCCTAGTCAGAGCCAACTGATGCACCCGGTCAAGTACCAGGTGCAGTCGCAGCCTCAACCACATCCGCATACGCAGTATCTGAACGCTTCCGTTGCCACGTCTGGCGTCGGTGCTGGCGGTGCTGCGCTTCAATACGATCCAAATACAAATACGCAATTGTTTTATGCATCGGCGGGTATGCAACCACAGGCAGCGCAGCAACCGCACCATCAGCAGCAGCAGCAGCAGCAACAACAGCAGCCAATACAACAAAGCAATTCTGTCATATTCAGCCATACAAAACAACAACAACAACAACAGCAGCAGCAGCAACAAAATGAAATGTCCAAGTCCATTCTCGGCCAGCATTTCATCGAGGTAGATTCGTTGCCCAACTATTGCATTTGTTATTGTCTTGTGTCTTGTGTCTTGCTCTTGTTACTGATATATGTTGCACACATCACGTGTCCATGCCTCCTGCTAGCAAACTAACACGGCCAGCATAACAAACGAACGCGCGGCGTGGCAGCGCTCAGCCTCCCGAAATAGAGAACTGACTCATCCATGCTCCAAAGAGGCCAATCGCTTGCTCTTCAGCTACCTCTGCGCGCGCTCTCTCTCTCTGTCTCTCTCTCTCTGCTTGGGGCTGTGTGTGGGGAGGGCCAAGTGCACAATTTGTCGATTGTGACGCGCACTTCCTGTGCGAAACTCTCCCCGCCTCGCCCGCCTCCTCCCCTTGCCCACTCTCTGGTCGCCTTGTCGCAGCTGCTCTTTTACGGCCTTTCGCATCAGACGCTTGCACTTGCCTCGAAACGGGGCGACAACGCGTTGCACAATCAACAGAAGCGAAATAGAAAAATCTTAGCAACAAAACCGAAATTCAATGTCAATTTTGTGGTTCGCTAAAAATAGCAATACACTAAATTTATGTTGTTTATTTAGTGCAAAAACAAAAAAGAAGAAAAAACACTTAAGATTGATTCGCTTTTAAATTTCCAAAAACAAAAACAAAACTATAATAATCTAATGTTCGTATTTTGTTTAAATATTGCCAAACTTCTATTTATAATTGAAATATATGTGATTCGGGGCCCCAAACAAACCTCACACGAAATGCCAAACAATCGGCTACAGAAATGCCTGCCTTGCCTCTAAAGTATGTAACAGCCCCGGCCACAATGAGGCAGACATAAAAACATGCTCATAGCAAACTTTCTGCTGTATTCTCTTCCTCTCTGAACTGTCGTAGAGCCACTGCGAAGACTGATTACCCTTATGATTAGCCGAAGATCATGATGATGATGTTCCTAATGGGTTTCAAGATATGATATTATTGATGGTTCAATGGGAGTGAATATCTAAACAAATATATTAGTTAGAAAGCAACATAAATTTGACGGAAGAGACGTTCATTAATTATAATTTATAGACAACCGCTTTCAATAAAAATCTTTGAAATATTTACCTTATCTTAATAGTCTGTGTAAACCAAAAAAAAGGAATTTTTAATAATTATCGATGGATGTTTATCTCATCAGTGTTCATAAAATTTCTTATAGAATTTTTAACGATCTCAAAGTTGCCCAGCAATATATATTCTCCTATCTATTTAATATTTCGAAAAGGTATTTAAAATTTGTTAAATTTGTTAACTTACCAGTTCATTGAGAAAATGTTTTTGCTTGTAGTTTTTGGCTTTAGACCTTCGTGCTATATATTATCTTTAGTTTTGGCATAGAGTATTCCTCTGCGGTTTTAAGCCAATTGACGTTCGCTTTGGCGTCTGCTTGTGGTTAGTTTTGCTTTATTTTTTTCGCTACCTAGCCAAACAATAATAGAAACTGGCGGCAGAGGAGGCAGCAGCAACAGCAGCAGCAGCAGCAGCTCTCCCGCAGTGGCCACAAGCGCGAACGCCCGGTTCAGAGATCGAAACGGAGCGTATTCTATGTTCCGCCCTGAGCACATACTCGGCAGCTACTTTGGCGCTGTCGTCGTAGCGATATTTTTCAATTTTTATAATTAGTATTTGTGGCGTGCGCTTTCGTAAATGTTGCGCTGATTTCGGATTGTTTTTTGTTTGCTATTTCTTCTTGAGAACGCAAAGACGCGCTGCTTGAAAAATACAAAATTTTCGAATTATTAAATAAAAGTCGACGAAACGCGAAAAATACGAATGGCTGAAAGTGCATGTAAATCAGGACATCAATTTTCAATATGCAAATAATAAAACGAAATTCGAAAGTGGAAATTAAATTTGGAATCGGAATCGGGGAATCGGAATAGCTCTTGAAATTGTCGCTGCTTCTGTTGTGTGTCTATTTCTGTCGAATAGCTGCCAAATATCGTACAATTTCAATTATTCTTACAACACATGAAAATACGCTCTTTATTTTGTAAATACGTATATTCTATTATACTATACTTAACTTGTATGCATACAGTACAATGCAAATGCTCGACCCGTCGAGTAAATGCCAAAAACAAATCTAGCTATAGCACGAAAACAGAAAACAGACAACAGAAGTCGAAAATTAGTTCATTAGAGATAGTTCGACTCAGAGGAGGAATCTTAACTACATATTAGTCAAGTCAACCCGCTTTCCAGTCTGATTCTTCCCCTCACTCACATATGGATCTTCACGCATATTATTAATACTATCGGATTTTCGTCAGAGCGAAAAAGAAGAAGAAGAGTAGACGGTAGCCCACGCACGAGAAGAAAAAAATGGCTACATTTTTAAGTCGTTTTCATCGGGAAAAAAGTGAAAAGATTTTGCCAAATGCTGCGAACAGCGCAAACAGCGGTGGCAAGAAAACAGCTGACATGGAGGCGGCGACGCCAACTGAGGCAGAAGCAGCATCAGCAGCAGCGACTGCGGCAGCGGCAGCGCAGCCGCGTCCACAGCGACGCTACATGCGCAGCGCAACGGCGGCGAGCGTAACGCAGCTGCTCTCTGAAAGCTGCAACAGTTTGCTGCAGCGCTTTCGACGCAATCCGAGCGAACGACCTGATAACAAACTGCAGCAGCAGCAGCAGCAGCAGCAGCAGCAGCAACAACAACAGCAACAGCGCAATCGGTAATCGATGCAAAAGAAATGAAGCGAAAGAACTGCACAAACACACACACGCATACAAACACACACATGCACACTCACACGTATAAATTATTTTTAATTTTGCGGTGATTTTTTTTTTTTTTTGCTTTGTCAAACAACAAAAACTCGGTCAAAATGTTGCCAGACGCGCGTCGCAGCTCTCATCATTTATTTTATTTTCATTTGATTTCTTGTTGTTTGTTATTTTTGGTTCGGCGTTAATTTAAGTACGTAATTTGCCCCATTGCCGTTAGCTGCAGTTAGTTGCAGCGCAGCAGCGCGCTGCTTCGTTTCACGACGCGTTCTACTCTTCAGCTTTAAGAGGGGCCAATTATGTAAACATCGTGTCGAGTGCGTTGTAAATCGCGTGTTGAACTCCGCCGCGCTGCTCCTCCTCGCGTTGACCGCGCTTGTGCCTGTGTGTAAAAGTGTGAAAATTGATTGTGGAAAATTGTCAAGAAATTGATTCAATTAGAGAGACTGGAGTTGTTGTTGCACCCAGAGAGCAAACGAATGAGAGAGTTCAGTGTAAACTTTGTGCTGTGGGCAGACATGCAATTGAACTGCATCAATTTACATAAGAATAATCATACGGCTAGCAGCGTGAATTTCATACAAATGACAGTTTTTAATGGTTTCTAGGCCGTTTAACTAGCCCAATGGCATCTATACTAGATATAAACCCCATACACCTCAAGTATTTACGCACACAGTATCTACTTATCTTTACATATTTTTGATTAATAGCTAGATAATTAAAAGTTTTCATTCAAAAGTTTAAATTTTCAAAATGCAAGCATATTCGAAAAGCTTTTTCAGTCAGGGAGCTTTCAAGTTCGAAATTGCGTCTCCGCATCTTTCTCTGTCTCGCTCATTGAAAGGCTGCATGATTCGCCTATCTGGCAACTCTTTGCAATTCTTCCTACTCTTGTTCTTGCTTGCTGAGAGAGATCGACGCCATTGTCTTTCGCTCGCTCTCCCGCTCTCTCTCTCTTTCTTTGGTCTGTTCGCTTTTAATGCATTTACTCTTCAATCATTTATTTTTATTACGCGCCTTTGGAATACACATAAAACGTAATTGTTTTGTCGTCTCAAGATTAAAGATTTTTATTTATTTTTTTGCTGATGCGAGTTCAAGGCTTTTCCTCCAAGCATTTGCAGCGCAAGACTTTCGATCGTTTCCTTGTTTCGCAAAAAGACGGAAATGTAAAGCTCTGCGTTCAGTTCAGCAGTAATTAAATGCATTTTCTGTGGAAGCAGGCAACAGATTAATTCATCCATCCACCCACCTACGCATACAGACAGAAGTTTACTCTCACTCTCTCTCTCTCTCTCTCTCTCTCTCTCTCTCTCTCTCTCTCTCACTGTCATTTCGACTCTCTCGCACAGCTGCTCCGGCTGATGCTGGGCAAGTGCGCAATATTTTCACACTTTTTCACAAAAATAAAAACGATTCCTCAATATTTTTTGGTAGACGCGCGGTGTATTTTCCCCCCATATATTTTCCATACATCCACAGTGCGTCCGTCGCATGAGTTTCGATCGAATTTTCAGCGTTTCTTAGTTATTATTTGGTCCGTGTCGTGGCAACGCGCATTCGTCGCGATTCAGGCGCGTGGAAAATACCAAAATACCAAAAATATACAAAACAAAATCGACACGAAATTGAATAGAAAAGGGAAAGCTTTAAGTGCGTCATTAGCAATTCTTGTTTTGTTTTGGGCTTTTATAGAGCAGCGGCCATACCCGAGGATAACATCAATAGCTCCAGCAATAACAATAACAACAAGGAAAGCAACGAAAACAGACGCAGTGGCTCCAAGACCCCAACGAATGAGAACTACAATAACAATAACAGCAACAGTAATAATAGGAACAACAAAAACAAAGACAAAGACAAGGGCAATCTCACAAAACAGAAACGTCGCCGCAGCTCGGAGAAATCTACGAGCGGTCGTAGACGCCCGGAAGCGGAACGTGATAGGGATAGGGAACGGGAACGGGACCGAGACCGAGACCGAGACCGAGAACGGGAAAGGGAACAGAACGCCATGAGCGATCGTCACAGACGTTACTATGCCGGAGGTGGCCTCGGCTATCATCCGATTAGCTCCACCAGCGGCAGCACCACCAACGCCATCATGGGTCGCTATCAGAAGAGCTCAACGACGGCCACTGCGCTGGACCGGCTGCGCACCCATCTGAGTCCCGTGGGCAGTAGCTATAACTATAAGCCCGCAATACGCGGATTGGGCACCGGCTTAAGGCGCGACCTGGACGACGTTAGTATGATAAAGGCGTGCAGTGTGAATACCAATGGATGAGAGCGTAGCGTGTTATCTGATCGTGGCCAAATTCATCCCGTGACTCACTGTCAGAGCATTCGCCTTCTCTCTTTAGTCTTTTACTGTTTGGAAAACACTTGAAACTTAGTTGCCCCATTTTCACCTGTCATCGTGAGTCACAGCAGCAGCAGCAGCAGCGGCAGCAGAGTCAAGTCGCTGTCCCAATTCTGTCAGAGCTTGAGCGGCACGGGGCGGGTTGAAGGTTGCAGGTTGAAGATTGCATTGACCACCCCTATTGCCACATCATATTTTAATAGACACTAATACGTATATTATATATAGCAGGTGTATATAGCAGCTAATATGTATCTTCTGCTCTGATTGTGCTCTCAGATATGCATACATACATACATACATACGTATAGATGAATATGTATATTTAGTGTGCCCACACGAAATGTTTTATAGCGCTTCTATGTGCTTCTCAAAATCTTCCTACTTGCCGTGTGCGTTTATTTTCGCTTCCAAGCAAATGTCCATGCCTCTCTGGCCTCTCCTCGCCTCGCCCCGCTCCTGTGTCTGTCGCCTGTGTCTCTTTCGGCTCTCGACTTTCGACTCTCGACTCTCGACTCTCTGGCTGGCATTAAATGTATAAAAAGCTATTCACAATTTCACGATTCTGGCATTTCGGTACAAATATATATATAAACTCTGAAGGTCGGCGTGCCGTGGATATTTATTTTGTTTAGATTTTCGCTAGGCGTTCTAAATAAAATAGACGCCCCTCTCCCTCTCCTCCCTCTTTCGTCTGCATGCGCGTCTTCTCGAAACGCTAGAGAAAGCTGCTGGATCGACGCAGACGCTGCAAAAAAAATGCGAGTGAAATGATATGATGTGAAATTAAGTGGCCCAAACACTGTTATTAGCCACCGCCGAAAAGGCCACTTAGATCGGTCGGCCGGCGTATAGCGAGTGCTAGGTCTAGGTCTAACTGCGTTTAGCTCAGCCGGAGCGTGAACGAAGCACGAAGCACGAAGAACGTCTTCGCTTGCGTCGCGCTGTCGTTTCCATTGGTTTCACACGAGCGCTGCTTAAAAGCACTTTCCTTACACATTATGAACTCCTCCCCAATTTGACTGGTTTCTCTTCTTGGGACGCACAGCGTCGCGATCTGCACTTGGACAGAGACAAGACGCCCACATTGTCGGCCGTTTCACGGCTGGAGAATAAGTATTCGGACATTTTGGAGCGCACAGCGGCCGGGCGACGCCGTCACGAGGAGGATCGCGACAAGACTCTAGAGCCGGATGACTACGGTGGCTATTCCAGTGGGCTGTTGCGCAGCGCTACCTCACATCAGCTGGCGGGCAAGGGGAAGCTGTCGTCGAGCTCCTTCAACGCCGGCGATCGCAAGGAGCGCACTCCCTACAGAATGCGCAGTCAGCGGCAGCGCTACATGGCCGACTCCAGTGACAGTGGCTACCTGACCAGCGGGAATCGATTGCTGGACGAGAACTATCCGGTCGACTATGGCCACAGTCGCTATCAGCCGCAGGACTATCACGAGGCGCTGCGTGCTGGCGGCGCCACCGGACACTCAACTGGTCGCTATGGTCGGCGGGGTGGCGAGGAGGACACTGCGCTCACCTCGGGTCGCCTGTCGCGAGCCTATGGACCGAAGAACGAGCTGCCGGCCACAGACAGCAGTCATGCGGATGACTGGAGCTCTCGCAGTCGATTTGCCAATCGTCGCAGGGAGGCAGCTACGCAGCCAGAGCTCACTGCCGAAGATCGTGAGATTCTGGCCGATGATCGTTCCTCGGAGGATAATGCGGCCATTCTGATGCTGCTGCGCGAGGACAACCAGTTCCTGGAGGCCAAGAAGTTCGAGGAGCGCATGCGCAGGCGACGGGAGCTTAAGGAGCGCGTCAAGCGCATGGAAGAAGCAGCCGCAGAGGCTAAGAAGACTGAAGCAGCCGCAGCAGCAGCAGCTGTGGCACAAGTCGAGGCAATGGAACGGCAGGCAGCCAAGGAAGCAGCAGCGGCGGCAGCAGCAGCAGCAGCAGCAGCAGCAGCGACAGCGACAGCGGCGTCTTCTGCGGCAGCACCTGCGGTGGATGCGCCCAAGAAAAAGTCGCGCAGCAAAAAAGTAACTAGCGTTGATAGCGATTCGAGCAGCTCTTGCTCGTCAGAGAGTAGCTCTGACGAGGACGTTAGCGAGACCGACGGTCCAACTGGTGTCCAACTAACCCACACAGCCGACACAGCACTGAAAACGAAAAGCATCACAGACAAGGCCAAAACACCCACCAATGCTATCAATGGTGCCACAACCACAACAACAACAACCAGTAATAATAACAACACGAACTCGAACTCATCGTCCACTACTAGCACCACCAACAACAACACCATCCCCCCCTCTGCTCTCTCTAACCTCTCTCTGCACGACACGGCAACGACAGCCAGCGGCAGTGGCAGCGGTAGCGGCAGCAGCAGCAGCAGCAGCGCCAACAACAAAAGTCGTTTTCTGCTCCACTCAGATCGCAACAACAACAACAACAACAGCAGCAGCAGCAGCAACAACATCAGCAACGACCTGTCCAAATATAAGCCCAGCAATATCCTGCACTCATCCAGTTCCGGTGCGCTGGCGTTCGGCGGGATCGGCGCTCGCTTCGCAGCAGCGGACTCCCGTCGGCAGCAGCAGCGCTACCAGGGCGCCAGCTCCCGCACAGCAGCAGTGCTGAACGACTTTGAGCGCTACAAGCCCAGCAGCGGATCGAGCTATCTGCACGAGGGCTACGGCATCAGTGGTCGGCGCTCGAATGCGCTGGGCAGCTCGCTGTACCAGCGACCGCAACTGGATGCCTACCAGCAGGCGGCGGCGGCGGCGTCGTCGGCGTCGTCCTCGTCGCACTATCTGCACCAGCACGATCAGTATCTGCTGTCAAAGAGCGCAACGTCGTCGGCGCTGTTCCATAGGTCACGCATTCCAAAGACACTCTCGACCTTTGTAAGCCACTCGATGCATTTCTCTATGCAACTTGAGCTTTCTGCCAAACGCCAAACCGCCAAGCCCGCAACTCACTCCACACTTTACAGTACTGCTAACTAACAGCGCGCGCCATGTTAACTAACAGCCGTTTGTTGCGCGTTCTCTTTGCATGTAAGAAAACTTGATCAGAAGAATCCCATCTTCTTCCCTATTTATATTCAATATTAATAATTTAAAGGCTTAATCTTTCTTTTACCAAAAAAAAATTCAATACTTTTATATCTAAAAAAATAATTTCATAGTAATGGTAATTGTTTAGCTAAATATTTGAAAAAACAACAACAATTTATAGCCGTAAGCGAATGCAATTTGTTTTTGCCCATGCGTTTTATGGTTCGTTTCATATCTCTATATATTTATTTCATTAATACTTTTACTGCCCCGTATTTACATATGTGTATACATGCATATATATGTGTATATATATACAAAAATGTTTAACGATATTTGTTGTATATGTTTTATATTGCAAAAACAAAATACAAAAATTAACCATTTATGTAAAACAAAAAAAAAAAAAAAAATCTCTCAACAAAAACAAATTTGTCCGAACTAATTTTCTTATCGAACAAACGAAACGTATTTTTCTCGTGTTTTTTCTGAATATGATGATGAAAATCACAATGATGATGATGATGATGATGGGTTGATGTACAAACAACTTGATGATGAATTGATGTAAATGGTTGGTTTATGGATTGGGAATTGGTGAAATGATGAAAATTTGGATATCTGGATTTGTGCTGTGGTGCCAACGTGGGATCGTCTGGATGGATGCAAAATTGATATGATGGCCATCCTCTGGCTGACGGGATATCTGGACGATGCTGGCGGCCCACCAATGCAATGTGTCTCTTTTTTTCTTTTTTCTCTTTCTTTTTTTGTTTCTTTTCTCTCTATTTCAAATGACATACTCTAACCAACCACACACGCACCTTATGTATTCGTCTATATAACTGCCATCGACTGCGACAACAACCACGCCCCTTCTGCTTCAACAACGTCTCGCCGCAACCCACTACCAAATACGCTCAAACATAACTCGCTTAATATTCGTCGTCGTCGTCGTCCTCGTCGTCGTTTTGCCCCTCTTCTGACTCAACGGATCCATGCACCTTGCTGCAATCGCACCATCAACGCCATCGCCAACAACAACAACTGCAACACCACCAACACCACCACCACCACCACCAACCACTCGTCGAATGCTCGCCCTCTCCAATAACAGACAGCAAAGCCCGTCATTCAAGATGATGCTGATGGTCACTTAATATACCACAACGGAGACATTCTCCATCACAGATGTTCGTGACAATTTTTTCGTTTTTAATTTTTCCATATGTTTATGTTTAGAGTTTACCACAGACTTTCCAACTTTTTTTTTCTTCTACTTCTTTTTTTCATTTTAAAGACAATGAGCAAAACTGCCTACTGCCGCACAGTAATTCTTCTACTCGTAACTCGTATAGTTTTCAACTATTCAAGTTTTCTTTATTATTTCTTAATTATCTTACGACAAAATTGTCGCGTCTTGTCGCAAGACTTCGCGTGCGTCGCCGCCGTTCCAAAGGCATATTTACAAAAAAAGCGCTAAAAAAACAAAAGAAAATTAAAAACCAAAATTAAAAGAAACCATTTTCACACAATTTTTGCCACATTTTTCCGAAAGACAGAAACAAAGAGAAAAAAACTTGAATTTAAAGTTCAACTGAAATTAAACTATACCAAATTTTTACTTTTACCGGTCGTAATTCAATTGAAATCTCTCACACACACACAGACACAAACACATAGATTCGTACATTACATGAACTTTCAGCGCATAATTAACGAAATAATATTGAAACTGAAAACTTTTCCGTGTACAAATTGTTCAAAGCAGCAGCTCGAGCATAATTTGTGGTCTTTTTGCTTAAATCCGAAAGATGCCCAGTTACAGTTACAGGTTTAGATTCTAGCGTAAATAACTAACGATTTATAATTGGTGTAATTGAGCGAATGACATTGACTACAATACGCCTCCTTTTGCCACATTTCAGATAAGATCATGGCCACACTGGGCGAGGGCACTTTCGGACGTGTGGTCAAGGTCAAAGACATGGAACGGTAAGTACAATGAAATGCCGAAATTACGATGATCTATATATAAACGCAATTAATAATACAATTGTACGCAAATGCCCATTCGATTCACAGTGATTTTTGCATGGCCTTGAAGATCATCAAGAATGTTGAAAAATATCGCGAGGCAGCCAAACTGGAGATCAATGCCTTGGAGAAGATAGCACAAAAAGATCCGCATGGTGAACAGTAAGTTGGCCATTAATGCAAATACATATACAAGAAGGAATCTATATACATAAATGTCTAATCGTTTATTTCTCTTGCAGTCTGTGCGTGAAAATGATTGACTGGTTTGATTATCATGGACATATGTGCATTGTTTTTGAAATGCTGGGTCTCAGTGTTTTCGATTTTTTGGTTAGTATTTTGAGATCTACATCGGTTGATAACCTAATATTCTAATATTCTGCTTTGATTGCAGCGCGAGAACAACTATGAGCCGTATTCTCTGGACCAAGTGCGTCACATGGCTTATCAATTATGCTACTCAGTTAAGTTTCTGCACGACAATCGTTTAACGCACACAGATCTCAAGCCGGAGAATATACTGTTTGTCGATTCGGATTACACATCTCACTATAATCATAAACTTGTATGTATTTAAATATTCTCTGACAATGTATTGTTGTATTTAACGCCTTGTTGCTCTCTCCACTAGAATCGAGAAGTGCGTCGCGTCAAGAACACAGATGTGCGTCTAATTGATTTCGGTTCGGCCACCTTTGATCATGAGCATCATAGCACAATTGTCTCGACGCGCCATTATCGTGCGCCGGAGGTGATATTGGAGCTTGGTTGGTCACAGCCTTGCGATGTTTGGTCTATCGGGTGAGTTGTTAGCTATATAACTATTACTTTATAAACATTTTTCTAATTTCTTCCCATCGTCTCACTTTCAGTTGCATTCTGTTTGAGCTATATTTGGGCATTACGCTATTCCAGACACATGACAACCGCGAGCATCTAGCCATGATGGAGCGTATCTTGGGACAAATTCCATATCGCATGGCACGGTAATACAATGCAGCTCATGCTTTTATTTCCCAAGGCGCAGTACTCTTCACCGAAACCATTTAACGTTTAGCAATCACACTCTTTACAGCAAAACCAAAACAAAGTACTTCTATCATGGTAAGTTAGATTGGGATGAGAAGTCCAGCGCGGGACGTTATGTGCGGGACCATTGCAAGCCCCTGTTCCTTTGTCAACTGAGTGACAGCGAGGACCACTGCGAGCTGTTCAACTTGATCAAGAAGATGCTGGAATACGAGCCCTCGTCGCGCATCACGTTAGGTAAGTTCATTAAATACATAGACGTTTGAGTTTAGATCTAATTCGCCACATTTACAGGTGAGGCTCTGCGACATCCGTTCTTTGATAGGTTACCACCGCATCAGCGCCTGGGCGAAATGAGCATTAATAAGCAGCCACTCTCGTCCGGCAGTAGCAGCCGCGAGCGCTCTCACAGTCTGTCCAGATGAGAATTACAGCGATTTGGTTATTGTTGACAACAGCGACGACGACATCAACGTTACTCAACACACACAGCTACAAACATGCGTACACATACAGTGCGAAGAGTCTTCGATCAACGTAATGCAACACATGATTGAGCAGCAGACCAGCAACCGGCAGCAACAACAGTAACAATTACAGATACAATAACATATATACTAATGCTGATAATTTAAGTTCTAAAGTCTTATTTAGAAATTTTGTAACTTGACTTGTATAGAAGGAAATTTCTACACAAAAATAACCCAGAATTGTTAAGTAAATATTGTTTGTGTGCCGCACGCTCTGCTCAATTTGATCCTGTGCATTGTCTCATCCCAGCCGCCAATCGTGTTTTGTTTTGTAATGATAACCAAATCGTGCATAATATATTTATAGTGCGTCCTCCTAGCCCGATACTGACGCCGCCAAACCCAAATACCTAAATGTAAATGCACACAGAAATGTGCACACTCTTCACTTGAGATAGATAAAGAGACCTCCCCCAACACGACTGCATTGCTTAAAGAAAACTAAACTACAAATGTAAATGTACTATATAAGAAATCAATCGATAAAGCGCTAGTTGAAATTCAGATCCATGCGCAAGCTGTCAATTGCCATGGACTTGCTTCTGTAATCTGTAATTAATCTATTATTTTCGAGTGCGTGAGTTGTAAGCTAATGCAAGCCATTACACATACACAGAGCTAACCCCACATGTAAACCTATATGTGTATGCCAATATCATATGTAAAGATCTATTCGTGTGACACCTCGCCCCGGAGGGTGCCACAACAACAACAAAAAAAGCAAACGCTGCATCGTTTGCTATTCTTTGTATAAATTATTTAGTAGCCAGAGTCATTTTCTCCTAGGTTATGTTTAATGTGTAAAATCGGCGCTGTTCACATATTTTTCCATCAAAGTACGCCCAAACAATACCAATACACGGTACACACAGACACCCACACACACACACACACACATTTATATATATTTATATGGAAAAAGAAAGAGCAAGAACACTAGAAAGTGGGGAATGCATGAAGTATATAGATACATATACTTAACATACTTAATTCAAATGATTGTGAGTTAGTTTAATATTACATAAATATTATTTTTAAATTACATTATTTGCAATTAATTAACCCCATCAACCAGCATATAAGATAAACAAAACAAAAAAATACAACTATTATTGTCAAGTTATTTAAAGTGAAATAAATTTTTAAAAATATTTTACTTGAATTCATTTCTCATTTCAGAGCGAGAAAAATCGCTCAAACCCAATTGGTATTCCTAAAAGTATATTGACCGATTATTCAGAGGGGCTCTTGCGATTTGATAAGCAAACGGGATCGTGCAACGATCTATTGCCAAGATAAGTCAATAATTGCAAAATATGATTTGATAGGAGTAAATTATCAGCAAGGGTAAAGCTTATTTGATTTGTAACAAAAATAATCTATAGACGCTGCGTCATTAGCCACAAGGTTCGATCGCTGGGGTCACGAAATTTTTATAAAAACTGAGCTGAGAGGACAGGCGCACAGAAGTTGTAGCGGAGCTGATAATTTCATTTGCTGAAATTTTTATAAACAGACTTCCACATATTACTCAACGACTGTGAATTTATAATATATGTAAGTGTTGACGTATAGGGGTATATAAATTAAACACACATACCGTCATGTATGCGATTTAAACGGCTTTTTTTGTTCACCCAGTCAGGTAGAGTGTTCTCAGGTCCTATTTTACCAGATATATCTATAAATTATCAGGAATTTCATTTATAGCTGCAAGATCAATAATTGCAATATGTTTTCAATATTTTCGGGAATATTTTAGCATTTATTTGTTCATTTTAGTGGATTTTCGCTACGTGTTTAAATGTCAATTTGTTTTTTTCTTGTGTTTGTTTTCTAGAATTTTACAATTAGTTTCAACTAAATAAATAATAACAATTTATAAATATAATTCTCTTTCTTAATTTTTTCTTTTTTGTTCTCTAACTTGCTAGTTGAGTGCTTCGAGTGTTGTTTGCTTGCTTCAACGTAAATATTTCGTTTGATATTTCCCATTCAATAAGTATCTCGGAGTTAGAAATAGTATCAGTTATATGCTTTTGATTACAATGTTTCTTCTGCAAGAATTTGTTGAATTAGGCAAAAAAGAAAACAATAAGCACATCGAAATGTGCATTAATTGGCTGAATCAGAACTTAATGGCTAAAATTCGGCTTATGCTAGCTAAATATATAAAAATAATAGTTAAGTCTAAAGATTGCAACGAAAACAAAAAACCTATGCAAACTATGGTGTATACGCAATAAATAAATATGTACCTAAACATTTACAATCTGTTCAATAAAATGACAATAATAGATAGGTATGTTCATCTGATCCATCTATATGATAATATATACACATTTAAAAAAACAACTGAGTTTAGCTTAAGCAAACGAAAAACTATTGTTTGCTTATTGTTCAACCATTCTCTCTATCTCTCTCGCTCTCTTTCTCTAAGTTTCCTTCGTCCGTTTTGTAACTTCGTTTCCGTTAACATTTTTATATTGTTTTATTGTCTATTTCAAAGATGTGGCAACGCCGCACAGGCGCAACTAAGCAGAGTCGTAATTCGATAGAAAATTATAGACAGTTTGGGGCTGACATCTAACTACACATATGTATGTATGAATATATGTATATCTATATATATAGTATATATCTATCTGAATATATACTGTTGATAGTTGCTTCTACTTATGGCCAATGACGAGCGTATAGTTTGCTGTGGTGACTGTCGACGGCAACGCCGACAGCGCTGGTCATTTGGCCAGCTTCAGGATCTCCGCTGCCCCCGGAGCTGCTCCAGCTGCTGTTGCCGGCACACCCGTTGGAGCCGGCGGAGCGGGCGCTATGCGTATGGGCTTGGCACGCTGCTGACTGAAGAGGCCGCTCAGTGTGGCCGCTGTGCTTGCGGTCAGCGTCACGCTAGCACCCCCAATGCTCGTCTGTCCAGTCGGCATTCCTGTGCGCTTGCCTCGCACCACTCCATTGCTGGTGCTATTCGTGGATGTGGGATGCTGCGGCTGCTGTGGCTGCTGCAGCTGCTGGCCAATTACTGCGGATGCTGGCGTCGATGTTGCGGTTGCCGAGGCTGAAATGTTATCCAACTCAGTCATTGCTTCTTGTATTGCCCGCTCGAGTTGCGAGTTCAGTTTGCGGCTCCTTTGTGGGTTGGTTGGTGGGTTGGTATATGGTTTTTGGTTGTGGTGTGTGTGCGTTCGTGTGTGTGTGTGGTGTGTTTTGGGAAGGTTGGGGTTCGAGTTGATAGTGACCATGACGATGATGATGATGTTGCACACATAGGGTTATACACACACACATATGCATACGAATACACACACGTATTTGGTTTTATTTTTCAGCGCATAATTAAAAAAAAAAAAAGAAACAAGAATATTAATTAGCAAAATTAAAATGAAAATGTACAAATTAAAGGTAAATTCGAAACTAATTTCAAATTGCATTCATATGCCAATCAGTGCTACACTGCAATACAAATACAAATACGAATACTAATACGAATTATATTCAAAACTATGGCAAAGGAATATCTAAATACTGCAAACGAAATTCATAATTCAAGTACTTAATATAACAATATTTTTAGCTTCTTACGGTGCTGGCTCGAATATTGCAGTTATTTAAATTCTTTTATAAACAAGTTTTCAAAGATCATTTCATTTTATATTTAATCAAAAATATTTCCTGAATCGAACCAACACTGCAGATGAAGCTTGATCAAATTATTTATATGCAACATAATAAATACGATGAATTAAAAAACTAGGAAATATTTAGAGTTTAGACTTAAAACATATGACTAATCTATATACATTCTACTTAAACAGCTTTAGGAAAAGGAACTAATGAAGCTTCTTTCTTGTGGTGCTGTCTGGTGCAGGGATCTAAAACAAAAGCTCAACTCATAGTAGCTCTTATAGCACACTTGAAGACCCCATCGAACCCTGGTAAAAACCTCTCTCAGTGACTCTCTGGTGGCATATGCATGCGCATCCGCCCACTTCGCCTAGTGATGCTCACTTTCTGGTATCCTTTTGCGCCTTGTGGTGCGCCTCCAAGCCCTCGGAAAGGCTCTGCAATAAGTTGACCGGGATTAGCTCGGAGGTGGATCGGCCGCCGCCGCCGAACCACTGCACCCACACGTGGTCGAATTGTTGCGACGGTGTGCAGACACCGTCGGGCATCTTGACTATCTTGCCGGGCCAGGCGGGATGTCCACGCGCCGGCCCCCAAATCAGCTCGCCAATGGCAAATGTTCGCGGTGGCAACAGAGCCAAACCATTTGGCGAATTTCTGGCCAGTGTGCGGTGGAGGCGACGCGCCCGTTTCGTGGGCGTGCGGCAGTTGGCTTTGGGTGGGGCAGCTTCACTGAGCGCTGGTGCATCCGAAATGGGCGGCAGCTGTGTGGTGGTGGGCGACTCTACATATAGAGATTTGGAGCAAGCAGCGGCTTGGTTAATGTGGCCGAGACTCAATACCCGACACCAGATACCCGACGTACATATATAGGTGGGCAAGGCGGAAAAACAGAAAACAAAAGCAAAGTGTGGTGGGTGCGAGGGGTGCGATGGGTGCGACAAGTGCTTGGCATGCAACAGGTGTGAGTGAGTGAGCGGTGTTTGGTGATTGGTGGGTCAGTCAGTTAGTGAATGGATGCAGTTAGTGGTTGCTGTGGTGCATTAGGACACTGGCAAAGCCTTACCCTGGTAGTCAACGCTAACTACTTTGTGATTATGGACATAGACGCTTTGATGGCTATTGGAGGTTAGGGGCTGTTGGTGATGTTGGTGGTGTTGGTGGTGCATGACTTGGCGACCCGATGCCGCTGTTGTTATTGATGGCGTGGACAATGTTGCCGACGCTGACGATGACGATGAGATGGACAGGGATGTGGTGCTATTCAGTCGCATACCTTGGCCCATGAGTCCCACAGCGTGGTTGCTCTCCGTCGCCGCCTGCTGCTGTGACGTGATGTGAATGCGCCGAATCTTCGCATCCGTTGGCTTGTAGATGCTGCTGGGCTGGCTAAACAAGTTGCTGCTGCAGATGGCTGTGAAGAGGACAAGCAATTGGATGAGTAAGTCGGCACAGTTATAGCTATATCAAAGGTAGTTACTCCGCTCGCAATCCGTCGATGAGGGCGACTGCCGACTCTCAGCACTCTGGGGCGAAATAGCCGCATCCGGCTCCGAGCTAGAGACGCACTGCACCTGCAAGACAGAGTTAACGAGCTCATCAATAGAAATCCAAGTGCTGTAAGCCCTGTCAACGACTCAGATTACGGACCATATCGCCGCTGCCGCTGCTCCGGTGGCTGGGCGGTCGCTCGGGGCTTCGCGGGCTGCACGTGGTGGTGTCCGGCGGACTGGCGGCAGTCACTTGCCGATTGCTGTGCGGATCCGTTACATAGCCAGTCGTCTGCGGTGGCTGCAGGCTGATCTGCTGCTGCTGCTGCTGCTGTGGTGGTGCCTGCTGCGGCTGCTGCTGAATCTGTATGGTGGCCGTGGGACTGGCCTGCACAAAGGAGGCGCCGCTTTGCTGACCCGTTGGCATGACCAGGCCCATGGGCGTCGAATAGATCTGGCCAATGGGACTCAGCTGCCCGTTGGCGCCCACAATATACTGCTGGCCTCCGGCGCTGGGCGAGATGAAGGAGGGCTTGTTCTGTGGCGAGGGCGTGCGCAGCATCACCTGCCCCTGATGGGTCAGCAGACTCGTCGTGGGCATGTTTTGTATCTGCAGCAAAGTGGCGTCCGGGCCCATGACCAGGCCCGCTGGCATAAGCAGCTGCTGGCCAATGAGATTCACCTGCTGCAGAATCTGGCCATTCTGGAGCAGCAGCTGCTGTGGCTGAGCTGCAGCCGTCGCCGGTTTGTTGACCACAATGCCCTGAATGCCCGGACTCAGCTGGAATTGCTGCGAGAACTGCGCCGGAGCTGCGGGCGCTGCCACCGCAGCGGCATTGGCCGCCTGCTGCAGCAGCGCTGGCGCCTGGCTGGGTATGCTGGGCGAGATCTGGGGCGAGTGCGCCTTCGCCGGCGAGCCGCTCACGCCACAGACCAAAGGCGGCGGCGGAGTGCTGCAGACAGAGGTCTTGCGCTTACGTGGCCGCCGCTTGGCCTCCGGCGACGTCATAATGGCTGCCGCTGGCTGTGGCATGCCCAGCAGCGGTTGATGGTGCTCCTGGTGCTGCTGTTGCTGCTGGTGATGGACGATGTAGCCGCCATTGGGCAACGTGTTCAGCAGCACCGTCTGTGGCGCCGCCGCCGTGCCCGCCGGACTGATCTGACTGATTGGGCTGGCCTGCGAGGTGATGATCTGGTGATGCAGCAGCTTGGCTCCGCCAGCATTAAGTATGGGCGATGGCTGGCTAACGATATACCCGCCGCCTGGCTGGGCATGCAGCTGGGCTGCCTGCGCCGGCCGCTGGGCCTGCTGTGCAGCCGTTGCCTGCTGCTTGCTGGCGCTGGGTATGACCAGCAGCTGGCCGGAGGAGGTCATGATCAGCTGATTGCCGCCGCCACTGTTGTTCGCCATGGACTGCAGCTGCGCCACAGCAGCGTTCCCGCTGCTCAGCGTAGTGCCCCCCGGTCGACTGATGCCCGCCGTAGTCGTCACGATGCTGCGCGTCAGCGTGGCTGCCCCGTTGTTGGCCACCGACTGCCTTTGGGCCGCGCCAACTGCGGGCTGGCACTGCTGTCGCAGCAGTCGCAGCTGAGCTGTGGGCTGGGCCGCTGCTGGCTGGCCTTGCAGCTGGGATTGGGGCTGACGCATCTGCATTTGGATTTGCGCTTGCTGCGGCTTGGGCGAGGCGCTGGGCGTGCTCTTGCCCGAGTCCAGTGAATCTGTGGGCGGGGAGAGGCTGTGACGCGGACTCTCGTGGCTCGTCGAGATGGCGCCCACTTGCTCGGGGCGCTTCTCTGCCTCGGGCCCGCTGCTGGATACTGGCGACTCCTGGGGTGCCGGCACCACCGTAATGCTGGTGATCTGTGGCTTCTGTGGACGCGCGAATGCCGCCGCCGTGTCGACATGCAGCGACCGAGGCGCACTTGGGTCCACCTCCCATTTGCCGCCCGTGAGCAGCGAGAGACGGCGAATGCCTCGACGCTGCTGCTGCTGCTGCTGCTGGGAGCTGTGCACAATGGGCTCCTGGGGCAGGGCACGGGCCGTGGCAGTGCCCGTGGCGTTGGCCGAGACAGGCTTGGCGTCCAGGCCCGCGCCCAGCGTATTGTGCAGCAGCGTCGTCTGCTGCTGCAAATAGCCCGCGGGATCATCCTTGAAGTTGGGCTGCTGCTGCTGCTGCTGCTGCTGCTGCTGGGCTGCGGGATGAGGAGGAGCAGGCGTAGAAACCGTTGTCACGGCCTTTATCACAGGCGCTGGAACTGTTGCGGCCGGCTCTGCGACTGGGAGCGGGCCAGGAGCAGAAACAGTAGCAGGAGCAGGAGCAGCTCCTGCTGTTCGCTTTGGCGCGCTCTCCAGGCCCATTGTTTGACTAGTTTGCATGACGGCCGCGTTTGTGGATATGGGCGTGGCTGTGACTGTGACAGGACCTGGAGCTGTTGTCCTGTTGGCCAGCTTATAGCTGCTGCTGCTGCTGCTGTTGTTGTTGTTGTTGTTGTTGTTGCTGCCATATTTGTGGCAATCAGCGTCTGAAATGTAGCAGAAAGAAATTCAAAGGAAAAGTCAGTGAATGCTTGGCGCAAGTCCTTCGTTGGTTATGCAAAGTGCGTCGTCCTTAAAGTGCCCGCAACGTGCCCAGCGCCGGCAGCACTGCAAAGGGCGTTCCACAAAGGTCGTCATGCCACTTGCCACATGCCACTTGCTGCTTGCTGCGCGCCACTTGACAATAGCAGACAAATGCCAAATGGCTGCGAAAGCGAAACACAATAAAATCAAAGCACAAGAACGTGCACGGCAAACCCAAACGCAAGCAAGGGCAAGCGAAAGAAGGTCCTAGAGCCGGGAGCAACTGCTTGAGGGGGGGGCACTGAACGTGGCCAGGTTCAGCGTTCAGATAATGCTAAGCTTAATTAAAATGCTATATAAAGCGGACACCCACTGACTGATACTTGAGTGAAAACTCACAAAGTGTTTTGCTAGCCAAAAGCCAAAAGAAAAGTTCTTAGGGCAAGCGCTGGCAGCTCTATAAAGAGTGGATAGATTTACCTACGCTTAGTGTTAAATTTGAGCAAATTGAGGAAGTCATAGTTAAGTAACAGTTGTCGGAAACTGATATACCCTATGAGATTATATGAGATAATGTCTTCTTTAAGCCTCATTATACCCTGAACCCATTGAAAATGGGAAATCAGAGTATAATGGTTTTGCTTTAGTTAAGGATCTATCTTATGTTTAGATTTGGAACACTAAAACTAAAGTTCGCTCTAAACAGTCAACAGAAACCGATAAATTGTTGCCTTAGACCATGTTTAAGGTTAGTATTGGCTTTCATTATATTCCATTAAGTACTAGGAATATTTAATTTTAATTTTTATTATATATATTTTGCCCTTAGTCTCGGTAATTTAAAAAATTTTAAACAATGCTCATATCTAAAAGCTTTAAAAACAAAAGTCGAATATAAAATGACAAAAGAAATCAAATATTTTCTATTTAATTATAGCAATTTTAAAATTGCTAAACAAAAAACAGAAATCGAAAACGAAATTTGTTTTAATTTATTTTTTAATGCTGAAGGCAGCAAACATGATTCAAAGCTGAATTATTTACGCTAGGCAAGTTCCTTCTTGTGCACAACCACACACACACACACACACACACACACACACACACACACTCATACACTCACACACACACATGCAAACACTTATTATTTAAGCCGCAATCGCGAAAATTTCTAAAACGCAGCAAACTTTTGCCTCGCGCAGCATTTTTAATGCCCCACTGATTGGGGCTACAACTGCCCCAGCGACAGACGAGCTGTGGCAACGAAAAGTCACCCCGGCACCACTCCACCCCAGCCCTCCCTCACCGTACACCGTTCACCGTTCAGTTGCGCTGTTGTGATATTTTTCGAGTGGGCGTGGCTGATAGGCGGATCGCAATGGACGCGCATGGCTAAACTTTGCCGTCAAGTCCCTTTTGTTTCAATTAACCTTTTCATTTGAAAGTTTTAACAATGTTTGCCAACTGTTTTGCCCAGCTGGCGAACAGCGTTACGCCCACAACGCCCTTTGATGATTTGACCAGCAGCAGAGCAGCAAGTGTCGTGTCGGAGGATGCCACGGATGCCACACGCTTAAAGGTGACCCCAAAATGCGCTCGAAACCCTTTTATTGTGAGTGTCTCTCTCTCACACTAACTCCATAGCCCTCTCTCTCTCTCTCTCTCTCTTTCTCTGTGTGTGTTTGTGTCTCTGGGAAATCAACAAATACTTTTGGCTATCTCAAATTGAAATCCAAATGCCACAAAAGGCCCCAACCGAGAGCCAGACGCCCAAACAGCTATGCAAAATGTCAAGCAATAAACCAAATGGATACACTGAACGAATTTAGCATACACTGCAAATATTTTAAGGCAATTCAATTTAATATTTGATGTATTCAGATTTATATTTGCTCAGGCTCAAACTCGTTTGCAATCACTTAATTAGTTGGCGAAATTCTGGCAAAAATCTAAAACTATTTCGCTTTAGTTGTCCTGCATCGCCTCCAGGCCCCCGCTACCCCGCTCCCCCACTACCCCACCCAGCATAGAGCTGGAGCACTATAAACTTTTTAACACGCATTTCAACAATAAAAATGCTGTTGGACGGAAAGTTCTGAAGCCACTTTCGGTAGGCACTTTGTGGGCCAAAACTCATGCAGTTAGCATTGGTTGGCCAAAAAGTTGGTGCTTTGCTCTGCGCCTGGCACAAGGCACAAGGACTCGTTGCTGGGAGCGCTCTGAAGTGGAAATGTTAAACAGTTGGGGCTATTTAATAAACATAATATTTGTTTATGAGAGCGACGGCTCGTCCCATCCAGGGCGCAGGGCCCCGGAGGTATTCAGTGAACGAGGCGACATTCCTGAACGGCTTTTGACAGCACAAACATGTTCGGGTCCCTTTGAGTGACCCACACAAAGGACGAAATCAAAACAGTCTCGCACACGCCCACACAGACGGAGGGGCCTATAGTGTGTGTGAGAGAGAGAGAGAGAGGGGGGAGAGCGACAGGCAGGCAAACAAACAAACAACAGGCGGAAAAACATGACGCTAGCAAATGCGAGGCGCATGAGGGGGCTGCTGCAAATGCACTTCCTGCTGCCACGCCCACCACCTGCCAAGCGTGTGGGCTTTAAGCTTGTTGAACCCATTTTTCTGTATTTGTATTTTTTCTTTCCTTCTGCTTGCTTTAGCATGTATGTATGCGTATCACTCTGCTATCTCTCTCTCGCTCACACTCTCTCCTTTTCTCTGTTTATATATTTGCGTGTATATATCTTTCCCTTTCGCTCTGTGTGTGTGCATTTTCACTTTATCATTGTCTAGGCGGCATTTCCCACTTGCCAGCAGCCCAAGTCCACTGCAATTGCATCCGACTGTGTGTGTGTGTGTATATGTGTGTGTTTGTAGCTGTATATGTACATAACATTGTTTGTTTGCACCGTGTGCTTTTGGCTCCCACTGGGCTGGCTCGCGCGATGTTTTGCTTTACTTTTCTCGCACTCGCCTGCACTTTGAGCACGTATCTACACTATTTTCAACTGCTCCCCCCTTCTCCTCCCCTCACCCCTTCCCTTTGCCCATCCACACACTGCACAAGCTGTTTTCCCTTGAGTTTGTCGCTGGCTTCACAATTCCTTTCCTTTAGCATACTTTAGTGCGCTGCCAAGGTTCGGGAACCAAAGCGTTCATATACATACAGATATACATACATACATACATACACATACAAATTCTTTGCGACGCTTTCAGGCAGCCAGAGCTCTGTCAGGGTTGCCATGGCACTAGAACTACAAAGGTTTGCCAACTTTTGGGGTATATAAAATATTTGTGATTGCCTCAGTGATCTCCAAATGAATTGCACACAAAGTAATCAGCTCAGAGCGCAAAACTCTGTTGGCTAGAACTTTAGAGACTATGCATAATGGCCGAATAGCTGTAAGTAGCTTTTCCCTCAAACAGTTGACTAACGTAGTAGTAGGGAAATATGTGCATTGCATTGTGATAAGCTGCTTTAAGGAAAACTTTAAGTGATATAAAAAGCATATTTAATAGAGCCTGCGACAACTCTAATGTTACATCAGCTTGAATATTTTCTGTGCTTATCCTTAAATAAAGTTGCTCTATAAATTAGTTTAGCTATCGGCTCTCGCTCACCTTTGTGGGCCAACTCTAATGTGGCTGTTGATGCTGTCGTGGCTGTTGCTGTTGCTGCTGCAGCTGCTGTTGTTGTTGCTGTCGTCGTTGTCGTTGTCGCCGTTGCCGTTGTTGATGCAGCAGATGCTGTTGTTGTTGTTGTTGATGCATTAGCTGCTGCTGCTGCTGCTGCTGTTGTTGTTGTTGCTGTTGCCATCAACGCAGTAAACGCATCACTGACAGCAGCTGCTGTTGCTTTCGCCATCGACATTGTCGTCGCCATCACCAAATCCTTGACGGGCCTCGGATTGTGCAGCTGCTCTCCATCGAGCAAATGCCGCTGGTGCGAGCAGAGCGCCGCAATCGCCTCTTGGCTGCTGCCCGGCGACACCTTTAATGGCATGTTGGGCACCTGCAATTAACATAATGCAACAAATTGTCACATTAGCAATTAGAATTCAACAGCTCCGACAATAATGGATGGCGGCGCCGTCAACGACGCATTTGCGATTGTTTCTGTCAATTTCAAATCGAAATTTTAATCACACGCACACATACACACACACAAACACACAGCTACTGTGTGATAGACACATTTGTGGCTGCTATTCATTTACATATAAAACGTGAGTGGCATTGGCAAAATAGAAACTCAATAAACGCCTAAACGTAGCTTGATCTGCATGGCGGCGCTTTTAATACCCTGGATTTATAGGCTACGAGAGGTGGGTGGGAGGCGAGGTACTTGAGCTCAGTGAGCAAGGTTCTTAAATGTATTGCTATGTATTCTTTTTTATCTAAAGTGAAGTTTAAGTATATAAGAATACTAAATAAGAGATTCGGATTCAGAAAGTAGTTAGCTCATTATAATACCTTCCGTCTGCTTAAGCTCTTTTGGAATCGCTTTGTTGATAGCCTATTTCGAATAAATACATTTTATTTTATATACTAAAAGTCTTTCTTAAGCTTCTACAGAGTATTATCAAGTTGTGCAACTGAAAAACCTTTTGTTTATTTTTCTTTACTAACCTTCAGCACATGCACAGCACAATAGACAACCCAAACACACACACACACACATACACACACATAGCATTGAGCATTCTGTAAATAGATATCGAATACAATTCGAGGCAAGCACACTGAACGAACACAATGTAATCCAATCAGATGCTGCAAATTGCGCTTAATAAGTACATCAAAAGATTTGATGGCGCCCGGCATGGGAACGCCTCTGCCCCGCCCTCGGCAGGTGCTAGGCAAAGGCTAGGAATTTATGCAAATTAGTCATTTGCTCAGGAGAAGGGGGGGGACGGCATCAATTTGCACGCCTCGAAGCATGACGACGACCCTTTTTTGGGCGGCGAGGCGCGCCTTTTGTGCCATTTCAATCAGTGGACGGCAATTGCTTCATTGGTCGCTTAAGCGCGGCCAACGAGTCGCTCGACCAATTTGGTCAGCAATTTGCGCAAACCAATCCAACTGCGAATTCCACGGGCCAAACTTGGCTAAAACACAAAAAAAGGCAAAAAGTGAAACAAAAAGCAGCAACATTAAAGCGATGCAGTGCTCAAAAAGCAATCAGCTCTGCGCCTTAAAAGTCGATTGTGACTGCATAACAACTGCATCACTCAAACAAATGTTGTTAACAGCGACTGCTCAAGACCTTTGGAGCACTCAACCACAGAACCGAGCTGGAAAAACTGTCAAGCCTTTGAGTCGAATGGCTCGAACTGTTTGTTTTTCCCCACAATAACCGCATTTTCTATATTTAGAGAAAACGTTTCTAAATGTATTTATTCATTTGCCACGCCCATACACATGACGACCATCTATGTATGTATATTAGTTGCCTTGCTCGTTGTTAATCTCCTGCCCCAAACATTCGATTCGGAATGGGAGAATCTCTGTTATAGTCGTTCACTTTGCTCTTCATTTTCGTACTTGGATTGGTGTTTGCGGTTATTCATATTGCATCTGCCACTGCTACTGAAACTTAGTCAAAAGGCTGTTTGGTTGCAAACATAATTTCAACTGCCTCTCTCTCTCCCTCTCTCTCTATCTGTATCGGTTGCCTTCTCTGTCTCTGTCTGCCTTTTAACCAATGCGCTTGCGAGCTGATTGCAAATGTTGAATGGAAACCTCAGAGATGACTTTTCACCCCCCTCCCCGGCCACTCAAACCTTTCATCATGCGACTTATGCATACATATATTGTGCATTTTCAGTTGGCTCATAGTTTTTTTCTTTTGGGCGTGGTCAGGCCTGCTCGCCTGCTAGTAATGAGATAAACGAAGTGCAACCCATACGCAATACTCGTTGCCCATAACAACCCAGAGTATTCATGCAATATACACGAAAATTTAATTGGCATTTAATGGAAAAATAATTAGTTAGCAGCAGACTGCCATGTTGCTGCTGCATCAACAACAGCAACAGCAACAATGGCAGTTGCTGAAAGCTGAAAAAAAAAAACTGTCTCACATATTGCTATCAGAGAATATAATGTCATACTTATTATACGTTATGGGGATAAATGGGGCAGCACAAAATGAGAGCCAGATAAATTAAAAATGAATACTATAATTTTAATGCATCAATCAATATCTTCCAAATTTATAATTTGATATGTGCCACAAAATGACAAAAATTGATAATTTATAGAGCCAGCGATGGACACTAATGTTTGCGATAGATCGGCTTAATTGTCTTTATTAAATCATAATGATTTTAATAAGTAACTTTGTAGTAATCGAAATGGATTAATTTTTAGTTTTATCTATTTATTTTTTATTATCATTTTTATTTATTTTTAATGATACATCGTTTTTTCTGCAAGCATTAGAGCTGTTAGGTCGATCGACATAATATCGATAGTTGAATACATCGATTGGAGTAACCATCGATTGTATCCGGGTAACGATGATTTTGCAGCCCTACAAATTAATTCAAATTCCAATTTGTTCGAAGAACGTATTAAACTTTGATTGATATTAAAAAATACTTTTCGATTACATTTTGTGGTATACCCCTTGTGAAGTACGTCCAGTACAGGGTACAGATATGTACATGAATTTATCATTATCGTTATGTAAACTCTTGTTAACGTTTCAAATACATAAAACGTTATGTGTATTTACAGATGGCATGTTCGAAATACATTTTTGCATATTTGACATATTAACCAGCGCTGTTTTTGACAGAAATTAGCAAGGGTGAGCGGCAGAGTGCAGACATGGGACACGCCTATGTAAAGCACGCAATAAAATGCCAAAGCGACAGAGGCAGAATAAAAAATAAAAACCAAACAACGAGAGAAAATACCAACAAAACATTGCACTTTTGCATGCATAATTGCGACGAAATTAAAGCAAAATGCGCAGACAGCGGGCGACAGGCAACGGGGAGCGATGAGGTGGCCACGACAGCCACATGAGTGCCAGATGAGTGGTGGCAGCAGCACCACCAGCAGCAGTTGGGCAGGTGTGAAGCTTGTGCACAGGTGCATGGCCGGTGTTGGATTTCATTAACATCATAATGACCGGCGAACGAACGACGCCAGACGGCCCCGACAGCTTTAATCCTGCCCGGCTGGCCTGCCACAACAATGAGTTGGGCACATGCAGACCAACACCTCAGTTGCCGCCACCCCCTAGAATGTTGCTCCTCCTCCTTGCCGAGTTTTCCTTAGTTGCAGCTGACGCTTGGGCTTTGGCTTTGGCTCTAACCCTTGCTGGCAGTGGCAATCGAGGCGCACTCGCGACAGGAACCTGCACCACTGCCGGATGTGAGTAATCGCTCAGTCACGTCGTTGCGTCGCGTTGCGTTGCGTTGTCCTGCAGGACATTGCTGTGCAGCAAGATTCCTGTACCCCACTGGACACTGCCTTGCCATGCATGACGTAACCCGCTACGGAAGTCGCTCCGCGCACATGCAATGTCCCGGCTAATGGATACCAAGCAACAGCAGCAGCAGGAGTGAGTGAGCCACTTGGATGTGGCAAGATATAGCACGTTGCAGCCACGCAGCATTTTTGTGTGCAGTTAGCTGCTAAATTCTTGACATTTCCCAATCAGAGCAGCAACCTTTTGCATTCACCGGAAAATGCAGAAAGCAGAATGCAAAATGCCTTCAAGCAGAGCTGTTTTTATCTGTTCACTACCCCCGCTCTCCGCTTCTTCTTCGTCAAACATTCATTGCTTGCGACCTTCTTGCGACTGCCTTTAAGAACCGAAGCACTTTCGAAAATTGAACGGCAGCTAGTTGAAGTTGCTCGCATTGAGAGGCCCTGCAGCCCGTCGACGTTGACTTGGACTGCTTTTTGCTCTTCCTTCCCGTCTTAATGCCACGCTGTCTGCTCATGGCGCGTACAACATTTAATTTGGACTAATGAAGTTTCTATAAGAGCTCGCCTAAATGACTGGCGAGAAAAGAGCGATGCGCCAGCCGTGGCAAACGACCCAAAGCAAACCAAGCTGAACCACAACAACAACAACAAAAACAACAACGAGGGGAAAGGATCCCAACTGGAAACTCAGCCAAAAATTCAATTTGGCCCAAAAGCGAAGTTGAAATTTGCGCGGCAATTGCTCTTCCTGCTCGCAGCTCGAGTGACGTGCAAATTGCACAAAAGAAACATGGTAAAAAGCCATACACTGCTGTGACAGACGCAAAGATACCCTGTAGAGGGAAAGACTTTGAAGCTGATGTGCCATTTGTGTTTTTCTTTTTATGTGCAGGCCGCGATTCGCGATCTAGATTGAGAAGACAATTTAGATATATAACATATATTTATTACTTTTTTAGTTATAGATCTAACTGTTATATATACATACATTGAGTTTTGAGCTCTTATCTTAACATAGAATTTTCATAAAAAAGCAAGAGTTTGCTTTTAGTTGATCTTAGATTTCATCATACGCAACTAGCAACCCTCTTGTGTACTTCGTGCTGGGTATAGATAGCGAACTGACACATCGCCTCGGCCCACCTGCCGTCGCTGGGCCAGCGCTAATTGTTTTAGTTGTTGTTCCATGAATATGCTAAGTTGTCTGCTGCGTATTGCGTCCACCCGCCTTCACGCCCCTCGCCAGCTCGCTCAACAAATGTTTATAAATGCAAATTGGCCGAAAAGTGCAGCAGCAGCAGCAACAGCAGCAGCAGCAGGGACAACGACAGCGTCACTTTCTGGACATGCTCGGTTAAATATTGTGTAGTCCGCCCTGAGAGTGGCAAAAGCCAGCGAGGGGGGGAGTGGGCTGCGGCGACAGGTTTAAATGACTGAAACGATTCGCTGGGATTGACTGGGGCTCACTTTCGGTTTCGGGTCGGCCCTGGCCCGGACAAGTGCTGCCAGCTTGGCCCTGACATCGCATGCCCTGCACTGCTCCAACCGCTGATCATGATGTGGGGCAGCTAGCCTTCACACACACACATACCAGAGACAACCAGTTGAGCAGATGGAAAACAGTCTTGGGCGCTGGCCCATACAAATAACATCATTTTGACTTTTATAGCTTGTGCGTGTATGCGTGTGTGTGTGTGTGTTTTAAACAACAGCAACAACAAACAGTTCCCATTGCGTTTTAATTTTTTGGATTTTATTTTCATTATTTTTATAGAGAGTTGTAAATTTTGAGCTGCCGTTCGACGTTCGACGTTCGACGCTCGGCACTCGACGCTGACCTTCTCAAGTTTGTCTGCTCGCTGTTCCAATTGTTGCTGTTGCTTGTGTGCATTGAGCTTGTGCCCAACAGACGCAACGTATGACAGACTTACACAAAGCAATAACAATCTGGGGCCGGGGCCAAAGTTTTATTTGCTTGCTCAACTTGCGTTACACAAATTGCGTTCAATGCGCTCAAAATAGAACCCAGTGAAATACTTAAAGTATTTATATATGTATATATACGTATGTATACATATATATAGTACAGGCAAAGTCAGCTGAGAGAAAAATCAATTTCTATTGTTTCACACTTGGTGCAACGGAGCAGAGTTTCTCATTCTTTCGTTCGATTCAATTGGAAATTTCAATTGCGAATAATTGTTTAATTAGTCTCAATTGCAGTTAATCTATATTTATGCATGCGTGTGTGTGTGTGTGTGTGAGGGATATATGTATAGCACCTTTAAAGGGCAACTATAAAATGTGCCGAGATTAAGTATACGCCATGAATATTACGCATACGATATGTGGAACGGCGATCATATAAACAGAAAATTGAAATTATTTCAGCTTAAGCAATATGCACACTGTTTGTATGTGTGTGTTTTGTGTGTGTGCCACCCTATTTTATACAGCCATGCATAAGGTCATAGATATTTGTATATAGATATACAAACAATAGCCAGTGCATAATGAGCACAGGGTCATTGTGTAAAAACAAATATATATATACATATATTTTATAAATAATATATAGGATAAGGTCAAGCAAATACTGCATACATATTACACAAACAACTTGTGAGGGTAATAAAACGGAATTTATTTTTATTTAATTGATACGATGACTAAGTCTTATTGAACTTATGATTATTTAAAGCTATCTATATACGATATTCACAAGAACCGTTAATAAACCAGGCCAACTAGCCACAAGCCACTGGAGTGAGCTCAACTTTAGGTCTTGACTTTGCTTTCCTTGCAAGTGGCATAAATAAATATTTGCTTTAGCACTTTCCAATTGCCAGCTCCATTCCATTCGAATCCCAGCACATGCACATGCATGTACGCAAATCTATGGCCACTCGGACAACCACACACATCATAATTTGCAGCACAAACTGTGCTGGCATGACTGGCAAGATGGCGCTATGCGATATGGGCGGTAATGGGGCGTGCCTAATGCGCCGCATCGCTCGTGGCGGAGTGGAGTGTGTGTCACTTGAGTGGCGACTTTCACCCAGCGAGCGAAAAAAACCAACAAACAAACAAACAAACAAAAAACTAAACAAAAAGCAATCCCTAACCTACCACACCTCGTGGCAAGAGACACAAAGGCAACTTAAGCGACAGCAAAATGGCAATAATCAAAACAAAGAGCAAACAAACCAATAAACGAACGTAGACTTCATTATGGAGGCACATCAATCATTGCCAAAACACGAAACCCCAGCGCCAACTGGGATGGGCCGACAGCAGGGAGTGCGCGCGCGGGGAGACGTGCGAGTTGAATGTGCCAAGAGACGTCGACGAGAGTAGACAACAAAAACAAAAACAAAAAAAAAAACAATAAGCAGAAAAAAACCCAAAAAATAAAAGCACAGTTGCCATTTTGCCACAACGATGTGCAGATAGTCAGACAGACAGACAGACAAGCCAACAGAGTGAGAGGCAGAGGCAGAGCGAGAAACATAAAGGGCATCAAAGAGAGTGTGAGAGAGATCTGCAGATGCAGCCAAGACAGTCAGTCAACGACTTGTGGTCAGCCTGCCGAGAGGTAAGAGAGGGGAGCGAGCCCGCAAGGGGGCTTATACGGTGGCACAATAAAGTGTTTAGTAAACAAATTGCGGCTGCCTTTTGATAATATGCACGCAGTGAGCTGAGCAGCTGCGCAGCTGCGGCGCAGCCTGCAACGCACCCGCCAGCGGGGGGAATTTAGTCCAGGGGGGCGGTAATAGGGATAATTTATAAGTACATTGCACCGAAATATCGATTGACGAAAGCCACAAAGAAGGCAAGACGAAGAGAGCGAGAGGGAGAGGGAGAGTGTATAAAATCTGGAGGGAGCTTGAGGTACGTGTGAGTGTGTGTGCATACGTATGTGTGTGTGGGCGATGAGAAGGACATTGATTGTGTGCGGGCGGTTGGACAGACGGGCGTTGGCGCCGACTTCACGCAAAAACCAAAGAGAAAACCATAAACTTAAATTAATGACCTCAGCCGAGGCGTAGCGCAGCGCTGAAAAGGCGAAGAACGGGACCGTGTGCAAGCGAAGCGAAAAGTCAATAAGAGCAAGAGCAAGAGCAAGAGCAAGCAAAAGCAAAACCAAAAGATGAAGACAAAGAAATTGTGGAAGAAGCGGAACAGTGTGATTTACCGTTGCAGTTGCGCTGCTCCAATTGGAAATGAATCTTATTGCTGGCGATTTCACTGCGATTCTCAATATGAAAACACATAAAGATGAAAATACTTGTCAATTTGGAGCAACGTCTGCCTCTGCTCCGGCTGCTGCTGCCGCTGCTGCTGCTACGGCAGATGGTCGGCCGTTTGAAGCAGTCAACATTGGCTAAGTGATTATGCAGTCGACGTCGACATAGCCGATTTGTTGTCAAACTGGTTTTACAAATATTTTGCGTTCATCTGTTGCCCAGGCGGTGGGGTATATGTGTATGTATACGTATGTATCTGTATGTGTGTGTGGCTGTATGGCTGTGTGTGTTGCCAGGCGGCAGTTACATGGCTGCAACGCTTAGTGAAAGTCGCTTGAATGCCGTTTTCTGTCAGCCCCCGGCCCACCCCACTTTGCCCAGACGCCTGTCAGTCCCCCCCATTGCTAGTTAGCTCAATGCGCATTCAATTAGGTTTAGCTCAAGCTTTTGGCTTTGGCCGATGTTTACAGACAATCATGAGACAAACTAGTTGGATTCGCAGCTAACTTACCTGAGCATTAAAATCGAAAAAGTATTCCGGCCGCAGCGGACACGGCAGGCCACATTTGCAGGTACCCTGTGTTAGCAAATAGTCCTTGATTTGGAATTGTGTGCGCAGTGTTTTGCCCGTTGGACTGTAAGAAACAAATGCAGTAAATAGATAAATGCTTATGCATATGTAACGAAGCCGATTAATGCTATAAATTATTTATTAGTTAATAGAACAATTTGTTGTATGCAAATGCCAATTAAAAACTCGTCAGCAATAGCCAGCTAAGTAATTAACCCCAACTATGTGTGTTAACAGCCTAACAGCTAACAGAGTGCAAAGGCGGCTCGAGCAACACGCGGCTGTTTAACGCTAACAGCTCATTAACATAATGGGCAAATGACGCGTCGCTTCGCATTAACATAACAATGTTAAGCGACAGTTGGCAAGCACTCGCAACACACATGCATGCCTACATGGTGTCAATGTGCATGTGTGTGTATGGGTGCACACACATAAATTAATTCCAATCAGAATTGCTCGCTGCTCGTTTTGATCGCATGTCAAATAAGTGCGCGCCACTCAGCGCATAATTCAAACTGGTTTTTACGTATTTGCACGCAGCTCTCGCTCTCCACGTGAGCTTATCGTTGAGCTCTGAGCGGCTTAACCAGGGCCCTCGTGGAGCTGAGTCGCGTGATTTGATGATCCGGCTTCACTACAGAAGTGGGCATACAAATCAATTCAATGTTAACTTGGGGTTGGACCTTTAAAATGCCTCACTGCAGTAAAATTATCGCATAACTTGTTATATGCCTATATTTATGAAGTATTTACTTTCGATTCTGATATATGTACATATACGTATATTTAAGAAGAAGTTGAGGGTGAATAATAAATATTATTATTACTATAAATTACAAATAATAATAAAAATTTATAATTTAATTCTTTGCATTGAGTTGTATTCCACATTAACTATGGACTATTAAGATCTCAGATTTTACGTCTAACATTGATAGAAAATTACTTTTAATTTAATTTTCATGCATAGATAGCGCGATATCTTGCAAAGGACAAACCAATTTATTTCAGGTTTTTTTATATCTCTCCATGTGTCTCTTGAATTTCACAATTCTCTAGTTTTCCCAACTGGTTCACTGCGAATTTGCAGTTCTATTGTTATGCAATCTCTGAAATCTAGTTCAACCCGCTTTGCAACAATTGCTAATTGCGTCTTAGGGTATCTCAGAATTCTACCCCATCCGAAAACCACATTCGTAATCCGTTTTGTGCTCATTTTATTTTTACAACAATGAGATTTATAAAAGAGTGAAGATTTTATTTTGAACAGCATTAAAATATGCGCAGAACCAAAAAATAAACAAAAAACGAATCCCGTGAATCAAGTTTTATTTTTCATTTTTTGATATTTTTTGTTGGGTTCTCAACTTTTTCGAGCCCCTTTTGCAGGGGCCACGCATGACCGCAAATGTTAAAAAGTTGTTCTCGGTTTATATATAAGTATGTATATATACATACATATATGTGCATATATGCTGCGCATAAAAATCATTTGGGGTTAAAAACATGGCAAAAACAAAAAAACAAAGGAAAAAGTTGAAAAAAAAAAAAAATCAACGCTGGCTGCTTATTAATTATAAAGTGTGAGCATGTTGATGAAATCAAGGGCGCTGCCAATGATGATGACGACGACGACAACGCGGCAAGGCGAGGCAAGGCGCGGCAAGTCGAGTCGAGTCGCACTTGAGCCCCGGGGCTTCTCAGCCAGAAATTGTTGAATAGGACAAGCTGCGCAACAGCCGAGTGGTAGGGGCAGAGCCTGGTGCCCGCTCCTCATCTCGTGTGGGAAATCTGAATAATGCATATCAAGTGTGAAAGCGGCAGGGGCACTAAACGGAACGAAACTAAAGGACGGCAGCCAAAGCAGCAGCCGAAGCAGCAGCAGCAGCACCAGTAACAGAGACGACAATCTACATAATTGAGCGGCAACAGCGGGTTAAACGAGTATGCGAGAATTGTCAATTGAAGAAGCCCGGCAGCAGCAGCAGCAGCAGCGCAGGATGAGTTGGATCAGGGTCTGCGACTGACACTGGGCCTGGGCCTGGGACTGAGCCAGAGCCAGAACGGCGACTACGGTCAACGTCTCATTCGTTCTCATCAATGGGCCTCACAGAAAAACAATAAATCGGAGAGAGCAATGAGGAGTGCATGACTAGAAGTTACCCTACTGCCTTAAATCTTTAAATTTCGATTGAAGATCATACTCGATCTAGTCGGAGGTGGGCTATACAGCTCAGCCATAAAAAGGCAATTGATATTTATCGATTTCATGAAAAAAGCATGAATAGTACAAATAGTGCAGTCTAGAAAGGTGAGTAAATAGTTCAGTCACAAAGCTCGACAACCCCGCTAAACTATTTCCCTTGAGTACAGGGTATACGAGAAGGGCTATCTGCCAATTGAAAGCTGAAACTGGTTTGTTTTATTAATTATTTTTAACTAGTTGCTTGGCCGTCAGCGCAAATCGAAGGCAAGTCAATTGGCTAAATGTGCGAAGAGGTTGCCGGGAGTGGAGTAAGGGAATCATCAACGCCAATGCTTATAGCTCAATTTGTATGCCATTGGCGTGGCTCACGGCCGGCTTAAGGGCTCACAATTACGAGCAGACTGCAATCTGATATTCCCTTCGAGCACGGAACTCGGCTCATTATGTTATTTATTTACACAAAATGCGCTAATATGGCGAGGGATTGGGCGCTTCAAGCACTGCAGCTGAGCACTGCACATAAAAAGGCGTTGAGCTAACGAGTTAAAATAATTTAATAAATTACGTTCACAAAGAGCGTCAAGTGGCCAAAGTAGCCGCCTGAATGCGCCAAAAAAAAAGCACGCTCGAACGCAACTCGGCTCGAGTAGGTGGAAAAGCAGTACGCCTCTGTGACCTTGAAGTGCACCCTCGAGCCAGCCCTGGGCGCGGGCGGAACGGGGCACTGCTGCAAAGACACAAGACACAAGATGCGAGACAGGAGGCGAGGGGCATGCGCTGAATGGGCCTATTACTAAATTAATAAACCCGAACGACGCCAGCAAAAGGCAAAGCCAGCAAGGGCCAAAAGGCAAACGGGCCAAAGCTCTCAAAGAGTCTGACACAAATACCAAAGAATTGCCCGCCGATAGCGGCAGGGGCAACACAGAGACTTGTTATTGCAACGTTAACTGTAAGCAGTCGACTCTAAGGTCCCCAGGGGACGCCTTTTTACTAATCAAATTCATTTGCTTAATTTCAATGCGCGCGGCTTTAAAGAGGTTAAAGATTGTGCATAGCATAGAGCGCGCTGTTATTAACAGACTTTTGTGAGGAGCAATTAACATAACTTCAAGTTAATGTTAACATAATACAATCGCCTTATGAAGTCATAAAGATTTACAGCTTATAATTAACTTGATGTGGATTTAAATATGCATTTTAATATAATCAACTCGAAGATGTGCGTAGCATAGGGCGTGCTGTTATTAACAGACGTGGTATGTAATCAACATCATTTAATGTTAGCAAAAGACATTTGCATTCGTAGTGCAGTTTGTGGTTTATTTATGTACTATTTATTTATAATAGTTGTAATTAAAATGAATACTAACTGCAACTGACTAACCAACTGACAGACAACTAAGGCCTTCGGCCATTGCAGTTTATAATTAAACTGACATTTACATATACAATACAAGAGTTTTCCATATTCATATCAATATAAGCAACATGAATGTTTATTAATTTTCATCGCTTTCCAACATCTGTTCCCACGAAACGTTTAGCGACAATTTTGTGTGGTGGGCGTTGGCCAAATATCAACACAAAATCGGCAACAACAGTGCAGGTCTGCAGGTCGTCGAAGTCTGAAAACTGCAGGCGGTAGACAGAGACATCGACGACAGCTGATGCAACCAGGCATCGCGCAGCGAGTAGAAGCCCGTGATGGACAGACAGACCTGATGGCAGCGGCTGGAACTGCGCTGTGACTCTGGCTGTGTCTGCCACTGAGGCCTGTCGCATGTGGAGAAAATTGAAAAACTGTTCGACTCTCTGGCTGTCTGTCTGGCTCTCTGTCGGCCTGTCTGACTTTGCCAAACTATTCCGCATTCTTGTTTTTTTCTTTCTTCCCTTTTTTGCAGTCAGTTGAATTGCTGGCGGCCTTGCGGGACGCACGGGTCGCCTCCATTCCAGCTGCCGCATCTAATTTATGATTTATGTGTGGCACAGTAGGCGGGCCCTCGTTTTGACCTGAAAATGTGCATGTGTCACAGTTATATGTGTGTGTGTGACGTCACGGCGCGCAGTCAACGACTTGAAAAGGCTTGCGCAACAATTATTGATTTAGCAAAGCCCTCTGCCCTATATGCCTCCATCCTTGAGCACAATCGCCGCTTACTCATTACATTCTTTCCAAGAAAATAGCCTTGACTGCCCGATGGCAGCGAGAGAGGGCAGCTTAGCACAAAGATGGTATTCATTTAGCCATTAGCCCAACCCCTCGATAGCGCAGCTAACGTCGCTTATCTCTGCTGTTCGAATGGACGAAAGCTCACAAAGAATTTGCAAAAAAGGGGCAAAAATAAAACGAAAAAGAAGAAATTCCAAACAAACAACAGCACGCAACATGCAACATGGCAATTGCAGCTGCTGCTGTTGCTGCTGCTGCTGCAGTTGTGAATAAGCATGCAACATAGCTTGACCAGTCCAACTAAAGTGTTCCAAATGGCCAGTAACATCAGATCTAAAAATATATTAATGAAGACAGCTAGCAAGCCCCACTCAAACAGTCCCTTATCGCCATCGATTGAAACTGTCCCAAATCAGGCTAAAAATAATCTATATATAATCTATATGCCATATATAAATATTGTGTATCATCTTTTCTCATTTCTAGGAATGTCAGCATCGTCTTTCCCCCCCCCCCCCCCCCCCCCCCCCCCCCCCAGCATTTCCTGTGATTGGACGCACAAGCCAATCGCCAAGAGGCAAAAGGCAGCGAAGGCAGCCAGTCAAGCCGACTCGACTCGAGGCACTTATAGAATCAACGATTATCCAACTCTGATGACAACAACAACGTCAGGGAGGCAGCCGCCACAAAGCCGTAAACTATTTGCACAGCGCCAAAGACTCGCTGAGTGTACCCGCAGCTACCTCCGCCCCCTCCCCACCTGGTGATTATCTACGGCTGCCCTGCAAACCCTGTAAACAGCTCTCTGGTGCCCAGTCAAACGACACTCGGGCAGCAACAGCAGCAGAACAATTAAAAGTACTTGGGCAATGGGGCACATACAGGCAGACAGACAGACAGACAGACGGTGGCTTGTTTTCGACATATTTGTGTAAATATTGTATTTGTGTTTGTAATTATGTCGACTTGATGATAACTCGCAGATAATGCTCAGGTAAATACTCGCCGTCTATGTACATACGGCTGGCAGTCAAGCAGGCGAACAGGCCAATAATGCCAGGCACTCGACTTTGGAATACCCTGTACACATTTTAATTGAGGTAAACAGAGTATAGAGTTAGTTGAGCAAACATAACGTAATGCCCCATATGAGTTATTTATGTGACCCAATCTTTGTAGAATTTGTATGCAAACACATTAATGGAGATATACTTAGGCATATCATATATAGGGTGTCAACAAGTATCCACTGAGCGATATATATAGATCGATTATTAAGTCACTATGCAACCAAATATATCTTTATATAAACGATCGGAAAACATATTAATCATATTTATGGTATAATATTTGATATTTAATTATAATCCAACCAAGTTACAGATGATCGATATATGTATATCGATTTGTAAGACTATTGTAAGTCAAATGTAAATACAAATAAATCTAGGTTTATATATGTATGTATGTGTATATCGACTTGTGGCTGATAGCCTCTTCTGTCATGTTGCATTTGGTGCTGAACATTGGACTGGGAATACAATCTGGGAAAACATTTGTAGTTTAACGTGACGGCTACCAAGCGGCAAGCAAATGCCACCGATTCTCGTATAGCCCACCCACTCGAGCCGCCCATCCGCTGAGCTACCCCTTTCGAGCAAGCATTTCCTGTTTGGCAAGAAAACATTTTTATGGCTTCGAATATGCACTGCCAGACAATACACAGATTGACTTTTAGCTGGGGCTTGCTGTAAATGTCATACAAGGGACAGATACAGTGACAGAGATAGCGATAGAGATGGTGACAGAGATGGAGATAGCAGCTAAGAGATAGAAACAGTGCCTGGAGACAGCAACTCACCTGATGTAGGCCACTTCATTGTTGTTGGTTAGTCGACGCCAGCCTGGAGCCAAATTTGCACTGTTGTTGTTGTAGTTGTTGTTGTTTGCATTATTGTTAGCATTGTTGGTTTTGGCCACATTCTTTGCATAAAGCTGCTGCTGTTGTAGTTGTTGTTTCTGCTGCTGCTGCTGCTGATGTTGATTGTTCTGACTCATTTGACGCGATGCAATTGTTGCTGGCATACAGTGCGTGGCAGCAACAGTTGCCGATGTGTTTGCTGCTGGCTTAACAGGCAACTTTATTTGTGCTGTACGCTGCTTAGCTTGTTGCTGCTGCTGCTGTTGCTGTTGGTGTTGCATCGGCGATCCAATCGCTGGACACACAAATATATGCTGACTGTGGCGCAATTGTTGCTGCTGTTGCTGCCCGGCAACATTTGCAGCTTGCATCATGTTGGCGCTACCATTTACCAAACCAGCTGGTAATATTTGTTGTTGCTGTTGCTGCTGTTGTTGTTGCTGCTGCATTGCGGCATTTGTAACGACCCGCGATACAAATTTTGTCTGCTGCTGATAGAATTGCTGCTGCTGCTGCTGCTGCTGTTGTTGTTGCTGCAACAATTGCTGCTGGTGCTGTTGCTGTTGCTTGTACATGTTGAGCTGCTGCTGTTGATGCTGTTGCAACTCGTTGACCTGCAGCACGCCAGCAACCGATTCCGCATTGCCAACAATGTTCAGTTTGTGCTGCTGCTGTTGCTGCTGCTGTTGTTGCTGTTGCAGCTGTTGGCCAGCGGATGCGGCTGCCATGTTAATAACAGCAGCCGTTTAAAAGCGCTTGATTTGTGGGCTGCAAACGAACATCGATGTTTAGTGAATTTTCAAGTGAGAGCACACATACATATGTACGAGTGCATAGATACTCATTCACACACGCACACATACACAAACATATGGTATACCTATGTACTATATAAACATACATAAGTATATGTACATGGAATTTTTGTAGGAATTCATAAAGGCTGATTCAGAGCTATTTAAAAAATGGTTGCTACTATGACTCAACTAGACAATACCCTGTACTCAACATTCTACGGAACTCTTATTAATTCAATTCAATTTTCTCAGATATAAAGCAAATTGATAAGCTAATCAAAAATTATTGGTATGTTCTTCATTGCGGCATGCCAGAGAGGTAACAGCAAATTTAAGTAGGTTTCTCTAACGAATCGCTAGCCATGGCTAGCTATCGATACTTTACTAGGTGCTGGCCTTTAAGAGTTATCGAACTTGATTTGCGATATCTTAAAATGAGCTTTAAGTGCTTCAACGTATCTAGCTGGTCAGATCAATAAAGATATGTATGTATATGTATGACAGACATATATGTATGTACATATGATGAAAAGAAACTTTTAGCAAAGAAACAATATGTTCGTAAAACAAAAAACAAAAATTATTTATTTGTGAAATTTTCTTTGTTCATATTGACAGACTATGATTTTAAAGTGGCTGACGCCTGGAAATATTCGTACGTATGTATTTATGTTTACTTTCCGAACAACACTGACTACACATTAACATGCAAAAACACACACACACACACTCATACAAATCATACATACATATACATCAATACCAACACAAGTGCACAATTTGTCAAGCTTGTGCTTGAATGCCATCTTCGGATGTTGTTACTCACCTTTTAACGTAATTTTCGTTTTGCTCATTTGCCAACATATTCAATTAATTTGAGTTATTGTGTAAACGAGACGCGACCATGTCATTTTGCTACTGCTGCTGCTGCTGCTGTTGTTGTGTTGTTGTTGCTGTCTCGCGTTTTTAAGCACTTAATTTCACTTTTTTTTACGGCTTTTCTTGTTGTAATAACGCGACGACTTTTGTATTGTTGTTTAGCTGTTGACTTCGCTGTGTTGTTGTTGCTGTTGCTGTTGGTTTTCATACAATCTGCTGCTCATGACTTCATTTGGAATTCAGAAAACGAACGTCGCTCGCTGCCAGAAACAGAAACAGAGAGCAAAGAGCGCGCAACGCGTAAAAGTAGGTGAATGGAGCATGAAGCAGCCGCCAACGTCGCGGTCGCAGTCGCAGTCGCCAGTAGACAAGAACAACAACAACGACAACGACAATGGCTAAAGAGTAAGCAGGCGGGGGAGACAAGCGGCGGAGTATCGAGGAGCGAGAGCAGAGTGAACACGACGCTCAGCTCATCTCAGCCCAACGAAACGTTTTGTTTTATGAAAAAAATTGTTCTGCCTAAATACTTATTATGCGCGCAAAGCAGAACAATTTGCCAGACGCGACTCTTGTTGTTCTTGTGTTGTCACTTTTTAATAGCATTCATGCATGTGTGTGCGTGTGCATATGTGTGTACATACATAAATATATTTATGTACCACGAATTCCTGCATAGCTATGTTATGCATCTGTATGTAAATTTACATGTGTGTATATAATTAATGCGTAACTCAGTCTGTCTGTATGTCTGTCTGCTCATGTGTGGACACCACCTGCCCTCCGGTTCTGCTCTAATGATCATAATAAGAATACAGCCAAGGGAAACAAGCGTACACATACAAATACACATACACACACTCACACGCGCGCGCGTACACTAAATTGTAATACGTCGAGTGACCTCAAATGCTTATCTGCATTTCACATGCGCTTTTTTTGGCAGCTGCTGCACTTACTAGCACAAACACACACCTAAATACACAAATTTATTACAGTGCTTTAATTTATTTAACTGGTAGCTTAGAGCATTTTAACATCATTTTGACTAAACGTTGATTTAGCTTTATTATGCAAAAACAGCAATTAAATGGGAATTAATTACAACGATTTCATTCGTTAGCTTTATTCACGCAACATTGACAACCGAGCGAACGACGATTCAACACTCGACTCTCGTACGCGCACACGAAATATTTTACTCAATAACTATGGATTTTTTTTTATAATTTGTTTTTTTTTTACCTTAATGTGAAAAATGCTCTCATATTAAAACATAAGCTTTGATTTTTTTCACAGCCACTTACGAATCAAAATTATGCTAATTATTTTACTTTTGCGTGTGCGCGCATTTGTTTTTGGAATTTTTCGACTGACCAAAATTCCATTCACTAGTAGAAACTAGTGATGTGTAAGTTGTCAATATATCTATATCGATGTTTATTGTATTATTACAATCGTAACTATCCCTGCCCATACTATCGATAAAGACGTTTGTTACGTTGCTCATTTTGCGCTTACGTTACGTATGCTACGTTTTAAATTTCGTAACCAAGTCGATTTCTATATCGATTACTTAAGCATTGCAACACAGAACAGGTAACAACAAAGCGCGCGGTGCCGGCGACTTCTGGAATTCGACGTTTCTCAAATCCTAAACTTCAATTTGATAAGATACAATTACTTAAAAGTGGTGTTGTTAAAAGGCCGCAACAATGTCCGATGCGGCTCTAAATACTTGCAAACTGCTGCTGTTTGGCCGTTGCGTGCGCGCCGTATTACTCAGCGTGGGCGTACAATTCCTATTGCTAACCGTATTTCTGTTGTTAATTAATTTTGAATTATTTCATCCCTTGAATTGGATTATGAGTTCATTGCGTTTGGTATGCAGCTTTTACACATGGTTCGCCTGCATACCACTACTAGGCGCTATTGTATTCTATGGAATGACGCTCTCCCATCAACATCTAGCCGAGCGTCGCTATTGGCCAACACGCTATCAGTGGCTGCTGCACAATGGTCCGCAAAAACTTCTATTCCTGCTCGCTCATGTGATTGTAGGCTATCTAACAGCGTGGCTATACACCGGGTATCTACACACGGATTACCGGTATGTTGTATTTATATACATAATTATAGTTACTATTCTACTATTCGATTACCTTTACAGTCACTTTATCTTCAAGGCATATGGCCAGAACTGTGTGAACTCTTACCACATCTTTTTGCTGGGTATGGGCCTCTGCGCAGGCGCCTATTACTTTGTCATCGAGTACATGCAGGCAGAAGTTTCCATTAATTTCGACTTTGTTGAGCAGTCGCGCTCAGAGAAGCTACGCGAATTGCTCTATGCTACGCTGCTGAAGGCGCCAATGAGTTCAGTAATGCCGACTATTTGCTATATAATTGTATTTTGGCTATTCGGTACATTTCTAAGGTATCGACTTAGTATTGTACTCAACGTGGACACGGACGACAGGCTACTTGGGATTGTGGACGTGATCACCAATGGACGCTTGCTATTCTATGCCTGGTTGCTGGGCGCTCAGATAGTTAGCAATATGCATCTAATGCGTTGCTTTTATGCCGCAATGCTCTCGGAGTCTCTTCCAATGACTGTTGCACGCCATCGCCCTTCCGCTCCCGGTGAACAGGAGCTCACCATTGTGGCCGGCCTGGGAGTCTTCAATGTATATGTGGTACAGTGCTTGGCTGCTAATTTCTTGTATCAGGAAGCACAACGCCAGACTTCGTCAGTGCGTAGTGAAATCTTCCAGCTTACTGAGCCGGGTAATCGCCCAGCTAACTGGCGCGCACTCTGCGACCAATGCCTCAGCATCGTGGGCAGCTTTACCGATGAGCTTAGTAATTCGATGCGGAAGAGCAACGTGGATCAGCCAATTTACAGCGATACGAGCAGCGCGCTTCTAGCAGAGAAGCTGCTGCTACGGCAATACAATCAATTGCATGGCATTCGACCTGTTGTTGCACCACAACATGCTGAAGCTCCCAGCAGGGATTGGGATACTAAGGGCACGGATAGCATACGCCGTGTGCCCAATTGGTGTGAGCGCACGTCGACAAAGTTGGAGGAGTTATTGCAGCAAGCGCTACATCGTATTCCTGGCATCGTGTATTTCTTCTACGAACCGGAAGGTGCCAAAACTGAATTCCTCCTAGGGAATGCACTGCCCGTGATTTGGTTGACTCAGGCGCTGGCTCAGATATGCGTCGCATCCATTAAGGAGGATAATTATGGCATTGTGCAGGATGATTTGCCGGCTATTATCAAGGCCTTGCATCGCCTCAAATGTGATGTGGACAGACTGGCCAACGGCATACCCAACTTTCGCACAAACACCAACAACTACAATCACTTACGGTATGCCGTCCGTCGTAGTCTCTACAACATTTGCATATCGTTCTATAAATACCTTGGTGATCTGACCTCAACAGGCGAAGAGCTGCGCCAACTACAGACGTTCGTTTATCAAGGATAGGAAGTTAAACATCTTGTTAAACATCTCTCATAGTTTGTTCTTCAGTAACAATAAAAATTAATAAATACATTTACATTTACACTTGACTTTTAACCTATCTATATATAGTATATAAGTAGATTTAACAATTAATTTTTTTTTTTAAATCAAGCAGTTTATCGATTTGGTGTGGCATTTTGTATGCGATCTATTGCTCCATCAGTGTCAGTGCATACATGAGTAGTGCCAAATCCTGATCCTTGTTCAGATTTGGTCATTGTAGTAATTTCACGGGCAACGCAGCATTGTTTACCGTCTCGCCAAATGATCTTTCGAGTTTTTCAGCTACCTCATCCATTTGCTGCAGTGCTTGCTTTCCCTTTCGATTCCGACCATCGATAAAGATCTGTGTTTGTAGATAGTTGAGCGCACGGAATGTCATGCCGCCCTCGGGATCGTATGAACCCAAATAAGTTTTAGGATATCTGGCGCTGGCGCTCTGATCTGGCGTACTCGGATCGAAGGGCACATACTCCTGTAACGGTTCTTTGTGCCACTTAAAAATGCTGCGTGAATCTAATTAGATCAAATATTTTTGTAGTAAAGCTATTATGTAAAAATATATATTCATATATATAGTCACGTACCTAGGTCCGCCAGAACACGGGTCATTTCTCTTATTTGTGCATCTTGACGCTCCAGGCGAAAGTTCATTTCAGTCAGCGTGTTCGTCAGCTGCATCTTCTCCAATTGAAGAGCCTCATTCTTTTTGTTCTCTTTTATCGCTTGCCGGGAATACTCAAATATCAGCAAACCGGCGCCAATGGCAAAGATAATAAACTCTCCAAGCAGATTGGCACCCAGCTCAATGGCCATGGCTTCATTCAATGGCGGCACCGTGACTGGCCGCCCAAGATTCAGTGCCCACATCTTGGTTTTTACCTCCACCCAATTGTAAACTGTAAGCGAACGATAGTTGAGCGGCATTAATCACCTTTATGTCATAAGAATGTATTTGGCTTACACTGTGCCGGCGGCATGCATATGTATTTCCTAAAGAATGGACTTGACTTTGCATTGGACTTTATAACATTTGCAATAGGCTTGCTGATTTGTTTAATTGCCAGCACGCCGAGTTTGGCGGCTGGAAATACTCCAATAACCATCTCTTATATTAATTTATATTACAAAATCTCGGCACAGAAAACTATAGGCAAACCAGGGCTGGCGATCGAGGAACACAGCTGTTTTTTTAAGTGGCGTGTTGAGTGGGTTACACGAGACGATACACGATAGGGGTAATCGATATTTAAGAAACATGCAATATTTTGCGATTTAAAGTTTTGAATGGCGAATAAAAACAATGAATCTACAAAAAAATACTAGTGATTTTTGTCTTAGATACTATTTCCTTCATAATCATTTAATTGCTCACGTATTAAATATATTTGGTTTTTCTGCCAATCGAGCAGATTATTCAATGTTTCTATTTCTATTCTTAGCTTCTCTTGATTCTCCTTATGTAAGTCATTCTTCATCTTATCCTTTTTTGCTTTCCGTGAAGATTCGATGTATATCAGTAGTAAGCCTAAGCCCATTGTAAAAACTTCACTTAAAAGGTTTGCTCCCAAGCTGATAGCCATGTCTTCCGAGAGCTTAGGAACACGTTTGGGTTGAGGTAGTCTTAGCATGCGCATTTTTGATCTGGTCTCGATCCAATAGATTATTTGACCAGCCGGAGCACAAATATACTTTTTAAATATCGAATTGTTTTGGGCAAAAGTCTTTAAAATTTTGCTGAATGGAGTGGCGATCTGCTTAATCCCAAGTACTGCAATTTTTCCAACAGGATATGCAGGGACCATTTCGATAACCAAAATTTATTAGAGTAAAAAAATTAAAAATGAAAAGTGTAGAAGCATATTGTTTGACAGAAAACCGAAAATTATTTGATTTAATATACAACTTTAAACAATTTTTGTTAGCTTTCATGAAGATCCATGAATTCCACGAGCTGTGCTTTAAGATTTATTATTTCGCGTGCTTGATGCAAAACCCGATCATTCAAAGTTTCCAACTCATTTTTCAACTTTACCTTCTCTGCCTGATGTTTGCTGTTCTTCAATGCTTCGTTACGCGCTTGCCTTTAATAAATAACAAACTTTTTCTTTTATAAATTACAAAATAAAAAAATGTGCACACACCTACCGTGAGAACTCTAATAATAGTAAGCTGACAGCAATTATAAATATGAGCAGTTCACCCACTAATTCACTTCCGGTTTGGATTGCCAGTGCGTTGTTTAAGGGCGGTATATATTTTGGTTGGCTCATGCCAAGTATTCGCATTTTCGTTCTTACCCCAATCCAATGATAGGCTACAGATCGTATATAATACAATATCGTAAACTTTGAGCTACGATATAAGAAACTTCTTACTTTGTGCTGTTGGGACGACTAAATATTTACGCAATGGCTCATTGGTTTTAGCGGTGTCTTTAATGCTTTTGACTACTGGCTTACTAATTTGTTTTAGGGCTAACATGCTTAGTTTTAAGAGAGGAAAGTGAGCCATTATTAAACATTACAATTTAATCTATAATTTCTATCATTATGATTAAAAACCCAAAACAACAAAACAAATCCGTTTGAAAACGTTTCAAATTGTGAATAAAAATATTTAAAAATGTATTCAGTATTCCAGTACAAATAAGGTTTAAAATAATAATTCGTTACATCGATGAATATTGCAATTACAATATTTAAATCGATAGCAAATATTATATAAAATATCGATGTATTCTTATTTTTTTCTTACATCGAAAATCATATACGAATGTTGGGGAATTTGAAAAGTGTAAATTAGTGTGAAAACCACGTTGTTCGGGATGGATAGCCTTGAGGTCATAAAGCCAGTAATCAGCGGATGCTGTGTGGTCTGTGGCACAAAAACCCGTGTAGTTTGCCATCGTTGTGGTGATTTTTATTGCTCAAGAAATTGTCAGCTTAATGACTGGCAACGTCATAGATATATATGTTTCTCAATACCCGCCCTGGTGCATCCCTTTGAATGCTCAGCCTTTGGTATTATGAAAATGCCATCACAGCTACAAATTCAACAAGTTTGCGACAGTACCGTCACTGCTGACAATGTCAACGAACAAAAAGCTAAGCTAGACAAAAATCAACATGAAGCAGCTCCTCTCAGTGCAACTACAAAAAGCGGATGCGAATACGATAAGGCATTTAAAGCAGACGAATCAGTAAACTCTGCAGGCAGCAGCAGTAGCAGCAGAAACAAATACAGCAACAACAACAGCAACAATGGCTCAAATTACAACACTTCAAAGAAAACGAACACGAAAATAAATGGTCTTCCGCCTTGTGTGGCTATGCCTCAGAGTGGAGACATTATTTATATTACTGGCTTTCGATCTGTGAATCGTTGTTTTTTGCGCGTCGCCAGCGAACATGCTGAGAAGGCACATTCTGAAATTTGCCGAAAGGTTTGTGTGTACTTTATATACTTATATAGAATACATTTTATTGTAATATATACATTTTTTAGGTTAATTTGTTGGGGAAAGAGATGAACAAAATACATAATCCGAGGATCTTTTCATACGGCCTAGCCAAGTATCAAGATCAATTCTATCGTGTTAAAATAATTCCTGGCTCATGTGTGCGCCTTCAATATTTAGACTTGGGCTTTGTCAAGGCAATGGGTTGCGTTGAAATTCATGAGATAAGCAACGAAATAATGCAACTGCCTTGCAGTATCGTAGAGCTTCCGCTAAAGGGCGTTCCAAACGTACCAATGAGCCATGATGTTGTCAAGTTCATTTCCAATTTCGAGAATAACAGATTTATAATACAGTATGGCGATAAAAGGCACATAGATTTAATGCATGTAGATACAGGCAAATCATTGAATGTACAAATCATTGAATATTGTACAAAATTGCATCTGCCTGGTCAGGCAATTCCACCTGAGAAAAAATTAGTGTCTGCCAAATCAGATGCACACAACGATTTAACCTTTAAGTCCAAAATGGGTGCTTCTACGCCAGATATCTCAGTGCAAGATGATCCACCTAAAGTCGAGTCTGAATTGAAAACACAACCGACAAACAAACCTGATGAATTAATAAACAAAAAAGAAGTGAATATAAGTAAGGAACAAATACCGACAAAAAAACCTGATGAATCAATAAACAAAAAAGAAGTGAATATAATTAAGGAACAAATACCGACAAACAAACCTGATCAATTAATAAACAAAAAAGAAGTGAATTCAATCAAGGCACAAATACCAGTTGCCGATGATGAAGAAAATAATAAATTACGCAGCTTACTGGGGTTAGATAAGGAATCATCAGATCAACATCAAAAAGCCAAAGAAAACATTCCATCTAATGTTAATATAGATTTAAATACGATTCCGCCTGTAATTCTTGACACTACCAAAAACGAAAATGCCACACGTGAAGCTGCAGAAAATATTAAAACTATAAGCAATATACCCACGGATATCAAAACAAATGAAGCAGATGATCAAAAGCCAAGCACAGTCATTGCTAAATCTAATACTGAACCTTTATTAATTCCGGTATGTAAATTAAAAATGTTCTTCGTTTATACAGATAATTCCTGAAAAATTGTTTACGATCTTTATAGCCCTTCGAAACGCGTCGCATCGCCATCAATTCGCCAGATGGGGTCGATATTTTCATTGTGGACAACTCAAATGTATCAAGGGGTATTATTGGCGGCTTTGAAAGTAAATATGCACGTCATTTCTCCGATTTGCAATTTCGCTTGTCACAAATCAAGGACACGCAGCCATACAAACCTATGTAAGTAAATATTAATTAAAGAGTCAATCAATCGTTGTAATACTTAATACATTTTTTATTTTTAGACTCAGGGAATATGTTATTGCCAAATTTGAAGGTGCTTGGTATCGTGCCAAGGTAATGGATATTAAAACTAATCAGCCTACCCATACATACGACGTTATGTATGTTGAGTTTACCAATGTATCCACTGTAACAGAACAGGACATTCGACGCTATCCACCAGACTTGAATATGCCATGCCATACAAGCGTTTGCCTCATAGAAGGTTGTTTATTTTTACTTGCTATAATCATATTTAATGTTAAATCAACGAATATATTTCAGGATTTCCTCATCGGCCATCAAATGCTCAGATGACCTTTTTACAGGAAAAGTTGCAAATGCATAAGGTGTTGCACGTAGATGCTGTAAACTATTTACAGGATATGGCAATGATCAAATGCAACGCTTTAATCGATGCACTTAACAAAATACCTTAAAGCTACATCAACCTGCGCTGTATTCAAAATACAATAGCTTTGTGTTATTTTGAAATATGGAATAACGAAGTTTATATATATATTTACATACGTTTAATATATGTGTGCTCAATAAATATTGTAATAAAAAAATAAAATGTTGGTAATTATGCAAATTTTGAAAAAATATCGATTGCTGTAACGAAAATAGATATCGTTATATGTATCGATTAAAATTTGTATTTCGATATTCATTTACTTAAACCACTAAACTTCTTATTGCGGCATATCGAAAAAAGTTCTTAGTCGCAAAACAGATCGCCCCCAACTCGCAGCTCGTATTTTGGTGACGGTGTATACACAGCCTGTGCATTTAAAATAAATTAATTCCGAAACAGGAGAAGGAATACATCTATCCCTTAACGTTATTTTCAACATTTAAAAAAGGTAAGGTATTAAAACTGACTATTGCATTATTTTTATTACTATTACTAATAAAGTGACCTCATAAATAAATAAATATGTACATAAGAGCGATAAAATAATGCCTACTGAAAAGGTAGTTTTGCCAAATTAAGCTTTGCTTTGCCAATGATGCAAACGCTTTCGCCGTATTATGAAAATTAACTGATCCATACATACATTCACTGACTTAGCAACACACACACACACACTGACATGTTCGTTTGTGTGACCGGCTGATGCGCGGGTAAAAAATATGTAAAGGTGAAATAGAAGTCATTCCATACAAAAGCACAGTGGAGCACTCATACATTCTTGCAAACGTATAGAACAAACACGCCATTGGAAAATGCAATAATAATCACCAAATGTCAATTATTTTGCTTTTAACCACAAATTGAGTACCTTTATCACTTTAATATATACACAGCAAACAACATACATACTTATGTATTTACATATACATACATACATGTGTATGAGGAAATGTGTGAAAAAAATACGAAATCCCACGACACGGCGATGAGTAATTAAACGCTGATTAAAATTTGCCGGCTTTAATTCATTTCAATTACTTCAATTTGATTGCTTGTCGACTCTTAAAAGGGCGTAGTTAGCATGCTTGTAACTTAATTTATTGTGTCTATGTCCTTCGAAAGTAGGTTCAAGGGCAGAGTCCAATAGCCTTTTGGAAATTGATAAAAGCACTTTCACTAACAGAGAACTTTTTTCTTTAATCTGTTGTTGTTGTTGCTTTGCTTCGTTAAAGCGCTCATAACAAAAGCTCTGCTAGTGGTGTGCGTGTCACGCGTCAAGCACCCCCGCAGCTGGCACCTTCCACGCAATCGCATCATGTGGGAGGTGGGAGTGAGATAGATTGATAAAGAGCATGCGTGCTCTGCGGTATGGAGATTATATTATTCCGTTCAATTCAAGGTCAGCAGCAACAGTGACAGTGTCGGCGGCGGGGTTTTCCGTATACGCCAGCTGATAATTTGAAATTGTTTATTGCTTTTATTTGTATACTTTTAATATGTGTTTATTTTCGGCTTCGAACAGCTGACGATCAGTTTTTTGTTTACATTCTCACGCGATCACAAGTATTATTGCGCCCAGACATACATATGGCCAGCTGACTGAGCTTCGTGCTTGGCACCGCTAGTCTGACAGCTAAATATCGAGCTTTTTTCGAGAGATAAACTTTTGCGAAATGCCGCTCGTTATTGTGCTTGGGCGGCTTTTTAGGGGTGGCCTGTTGCCTTTTGTCGTTTGCCGTTCGCCTGTTTGCACCACTGGCGGCGCCGTGCTCTCTCGGCTCGGCGGGAGAAGCGTTCGTTTGGCATTTTCACCAGAGTCTCGTGGTTGTGCGCTCATTGTGCATTACCGACATTCTGAATGCTTTTGCCAAAAATTTTCCACCCAGACTCGGCCAGTCGAACGTTTTATGCCATTGTGTGAAAAACCCATTGCGCTTAGGTTTTGAACGCAATCATTTTTGCCATACAACGCATCGTCAGTATCTGTTTTGTGCGTGTCATCCGTATCCGTATTGGGCAGCATTCTAAATATAATTATCGTGGTTTATACACTGTCAATCTAGTAGGCAACAAAATGGTTAACGTAACAATTTATGATGAGGCACCGAAGCTGAAGGTAAGAAGGCCCCCACAGTGTACAGAATCCGCAGAACAGTTTAAACTCATATGTATATATATCCATAAAGATATGGCTATCAGCTTAAAAGTAAATTAAAGCAGTTATTCCCACAGTTTTGTGGCTATATTATTATGCAACTGTTTTAATTTTTTTTTTTTGGCTTATAGCAAATGCAAAAGTTGTGACCTTCACAGATGCAGCGCCGCACCGTTGCCGATGCATAAAATCTCTTCCGTCTGTCATTCTCTCGTATTGCGTCTGTGGCACCTCCACTCCCACTCGCGCTAGCTGGCGCTCTCTCATGCGTGCGATGCCCGCTCTTGCTCGCTCTGTGTCGCTCTCTATTTGCGTGTCGGTAGGCGAATATCGATATAACGAACCATAAACCGCCAAAGTTAGCAGAAGTTTATTATTCACCTCATTGACAACGATAATTATGTTGATTATTCGAAATTGTATTTGATGTCCGCTTCATTTTTATTGCAGGCAAACGAAGTACCACAAAACATGGCTGCCGGAGCTGAGAGCCAATTGGAGCATATGTGCCGCCTGCAGTTCGACTCGCCTGTGCCCCATGTGCGTCTGTCGGGTATTGTGTGCACCATCGGACCCGCATCGCGCAGTGTCGAGATGCTGGAGAAGATGATCGCCACTGGCATGAATGTGGCGCGCATGAACTTCTCTCATGGCTCGCACGAATACCATGCTGAGACGGTTGCCAATGTGCGACAGGCTGTTAAGAACTATTCGGCCAAGCTGGGATACGAGCACCCAGTTGCTATCGCCCTGGACACCAAGGGTCCTGAGATCCGTACTGGGCTCATCGGCGGCAGTGGCACTGCTGAGATTGAGCTGAAGAAGGGCGAGACCATTAAGCTGACCACCAACAAGGAATTCCTAGAGAAGGGCTCTCTGGAGATAGTCTATGTGGACTATGTGAACATTGTCAACGTGGTGAAGCCGGGCAATCGCGTGTTTGTCGACGATGGACTCATCTCGCTGGTTGTGCGCGAGGTCTCCGGGGACACGGTGACTTGCGAGGTGGAGAACGGTGGCGCTCTTGGCTCCCGCAAGGGTGTCAATCTGCCCGGCGTGCCCGTCGACTTGCCAGCTGTGTCCGAGAAGGACAAGTCTGACTTGCAGTTCGGTGTAGAGCAGGATGTGGACATGATCTTTGCATCGTTCATTCGCAATGCTGCCGCTCTGACCGAAATCCGCAAAGTTTTGGGCGAGAAGGGTAAGAACATCAAGATCATCTCTAAGATTGAGAACCAGCAGGGCATGCACAATCTGGACGAGATCATTGAGGCCGGTGACGGTATCATGGTCGCTCGTGGTGATCTTGGCATCGAGATACCCGCCGAGAAGGTGTTCCTGGCCCAAAAGGCAATGATCGCACGTTGCAACAAGGCTGGCAAGCCCGTTATTTGCGCTACTCAGATGTTGGAGTCCATGGTGAAGAAACCACGTCCCACTCGCGCCGAAATCTCGGACGTGGCCAACGCTGTCCTCGATGGCGCTGACTGTGTCATGTTGTCTGGTGAGACAGCCAAGGGTGACTACCCACTGGAGTGTGTGTTGACCATGGCCAAGACGTGCAAGGAGGCCGAGGCTGCCCTGTGGCACCAGAATCTATTTGCGGATTTGGTGCGCGCAGCCTCCGCAACCACTCTGGATGCTGCTCATGCGGCGGCCATTGCCGCTGTCGAGGCAGCCAACAAGGCCAAGGCAGCCGCCATTGTGGTGATCACCACCAGCGGCAAGTCCGCTTTCCTGGTGAGCAAGTATCGCCCACGTTGCCCCATCATTGCCGTCACGCGTTTCGCGCAAACTGCTCGTCAGGCACATCTGTACCGTGGCTTGGTGCCACTTATCTACAAGGGTAGGTGTCTCGTAGCTCAGTTTGGATTTATTAATCTCATTGCACAATCAATTTTACAGAGCCTGCCCTCAACGACTGGCTAAAGGATGTTGATGTGCGTGTCCAGTTCGGCTTGCAGGTGGGCAAGAAGAACGGCTTCATCAAGGCTGGCGACTCTGTGGTCATTGTCACTGGCTGGAAGCAGGGCTCCGGCTTCACCAACACCATTCGTATTGTGTAAGTAGACTGCTGACTGAAAACTCCGAGATTGCCTTAACTTACGCCCCATCCCTCTTGCAGCACTGTCGAATAAGCCTGTTATCAGTGGCTGGCACTGCGCCCGTGTTTTAAGCGCTGTGCGCGTGCATCAATTACTGTTATTAACCAAGTTAATTTATTGAAAATTCTCAACAAATATATATGGATTATTGGATAACGAGATTGGATATATTTATCTGCTGTCAGAGCGCCACTGAATGTCTCCATGGAGCCATTCCTTCACACATACACACAAATACAAGCATACAAATATAATTTATCATTGTTAAATATAGAGTTCTTTATAGTAACAAAGATTAATAAAAACTATATGTATACATAATGCTACCTCGATTTCCACTAGTGAAATGTACGAATTCGAATTACTGCTAGTCCAAGTGCTGAAGCCGTGACCTTCTAAGATTGTACCCCAAGTAATTGAATTGAATTAACTATTGAAATAAAATCGATAAAACTGTTAGCCAAAATAATATTTGTGTCTACTCTAACCTTTATTGCCGGTTAATTGGCTTGCGTTAACTGATATTGATTGGTTCTTATTCACTTTTTAATTTAGAGGCTTACATAGTACATATGCCGTTGTTTACTTTTTTTGTATAGATATGTGGAATACTTAAAGATAAATTGAACAGAGGCATATTTATATTATTGATATTGATTTGCCTTTGCCTTTTATTTGTTGGATTTTTTTTTGTTATGTAGTTTACCATTTGATCAAAATCAAATAAACTTTTTTTTTCAAAATTTCATATGCCAAAATTAAGATTTATTCAGTAAAAGCTTCGCAGATTGATGACATTATTTACACGACTCACAACCCGAGTGTCTGCGCCCCTGCAGATCTTTTTGCCACGGGTACAACTTGATTCTGCTAATTACTCCACCAGTGCCAAGTTGGAATGTGTAAGCGTCTACAGTGACTAATATAATATTGCTTGGTATAAAGGGCTATACTTGTAGGATAAGACAGCTGAGGTAGTTCTGGACCGAGGGCCTTTCTCCTCGCAATTGGACTATCAATCTCGGCTGCGTTTTAATTCACCCACATTGAGTTATGCGTTAAGCGGCATCATTTGCACGATTGGACCTGCATCCAACAAGGCGGACGTGTTAGTCAAGCTAATCGAGGCCGGAATGCGAGTTGTCCGATTAAACTTCTCGCATGGCACATACGATTACCATTGCAACACAATACAAGAGGCCAGGAAGGCCGTCGAGTGCTATGCGACACAGGTTGGAGTATACAAGCCCGTGGCTATTGCATTGGATACCAAGGGACCAGAAATACGTACGGGTCTAATATCGGGCAGCGATACTGCAGAAGTGGATCTAAAGCAAGGCGATAAAATCAAGTTATCCACCAACAAAGATTTGGAGTCCAACGGCAGCAAAGATACTATATACGTAGACTATAAACAGTTGCCAAAGATTGTCAAGAAAGGAAACTTAATATTTGTCGATGATGGACAGATCGCGTTACGTGTTACGGAGGCGACTGAGTCAGAAGTTATGTGCGAGATTGTCAATGGCGGAAAGTTGGGATCCCATAAGGGTGTGAATCTTCCTGGTATTCCAGTTGATTTGCCATCTGTTTCGGAAAAGGACAAAAAGGACTTACAGTTCGGTGTGGAGCATGGTGTGGACATGATCTTTGCATCGTTCATACGTGACGCCAAAGCCCTCAGTGAAATTCGTGCAGTGCTGGGACCAAAGGGCAAGCACATTCAAATCATATCAAAGATTGAGAATCAACAGGGCATGCATAATATTGATGATATAATTGAGGCCTCCGATGGGATCATGGTGGCTCGCGGTGATCTTGGTATCGAGATCCTTACCGAAGAAGTTGTACTGGCCCAAAAGTCCATAATAGCCAAATGCAACATGGCTGGCAAACCCGTCATATGCGCCACCCAGATGCTGGATTCCATGACGAGTAAGCCACGGCCATCGCGTGCCGAAGCCTCGGATGTTGCCAATGCCATATTTGATGGCGCCGATTGTGTAATGCTGTCTGGTGAGACGGCCAAGGGCAAATACCCGGTGGAGTGTGTCAAATGCATGGCGAAAATTTGTGCAAAGGTGGAAAATGTTCTATGGTATGAACGATTACAGAATGAGATTAAGACCTACATGAAATCATCCTCGTCCGACAACATTTCGGCGATTACGGCTGGGATCAGTGAGATAGCTTCCTTAGGTCAAGCCACTGCCATAGTTGTGGCGAGTCCATGCCCGGTTGTGCCCAATTTAATTAGTCAATTTCGACCCAGATGTCCTATTGTTTTTCTCACCGGTATACCAAGGGTAGCACGACAAGCGACTATTTATCGCGGAATCTATCCGATCGTTCCAGAGGTAATGACTAATGGTTGCAAAGATTTTACGACTATTCTAAATATTGGCTTAGAGTATATGGCCAGGATGAAAATCGTGGATCCAGAGAAACCAATGACACTTATGATTGTAAATGCCTTAGAGGCAGAGAGAATAACATTTCGCCTCTTGTATACAAAAAAAAACCGTCAGGATTCCAAATCCAGTGAAGCTCCAGATGCGAAAGCGAAGCCCGTTCAACAAACGAAAAATGAAAAGAAAAAAAGTTGCCACAAACCGACAGAGGGAGTGGATAAGTGCGAAAAACAATCGAAAGAACAGAAAAACGAAGATGAATGTGATTCGGATGACCCAATAGTAACAAAGTGCATGCGAATTTGCGCTAAGGTTAAGAAAGAAAACGAAGACAAATCATGCAAGTAGATGTGGAGAACAATATTAGTTCTTAAAGCTAATAATATTTTTGATTGCATACCCAAGAATGTATATTTTTACGTCTAATATTGTCAATAAACTAATAACACATGTTATGTTATGGTAGACCTCGCATCCTATCTAATGGCTTTTTCCTCTCATAGTTTTAAAAAATTATTTGCACGTTATTATAGTGCTGCCAGACTGATAATAAATTTTATCGATAGATATTGCAACTTAATTTATTAATCGATGGTGTCCTACGCTTATCGATGGGTAAACAAATCAAAAGTGGACTTGTGAAATAACAACAATAGAGGAATGACTAACAATATTTGTTGATTGGATAAAAACGGCAACTAATTAAAAATGTCTCTGCCTCCAAGAAAAGCGACAAGTACAACAGGAACGAACGCGGTCGTACAGGCAGTCGAAACATATATTCAAAACCAAAATTTGTTGGGTGAGATTGCCGAACTGGATGAGCTGCTATATGATTTAATTGATCTGCATAAGTACAATGAAGTAGCCCTTAAGCGCGTACTGCAGTGCATATACAACTTGCTGCAAAGCAACAACAGGTGGAATGTAAAGTTTGGCTCAAAGGTATTTCACAAACTCATTTCGGTTGTCATCGCCGAGGGCGACGATGACGGAATTCCACATGGTCTGCATCGTCAGCTTGTAGCCAATTTGCTCATATGTGTGCAAATTCATGCCCGCAAGTTTCCCCGCGTCGATGGCAAATTCCTGCTACGTCAACTTTGGTCTCTAAGCCTTAGTAGCGAACGTCAGCCACATGCCGCCCAAATCCTGGTGCAGCTCTTTGATGATTTCCTACGTGAAATGGGTGATGAGTGTGCCTGTTCATCTGAGCTGCACGCTGTCATACAGGACCTGCTGCAATCAGAAGCTCGCGAGCAACGTAGATCAGCACACTTTCTCATGAGGAAACTTCTCATGATATTACGAGAGGAACCCACTGCTAGCACTGCTGGACGGAGCACACGTGTGCTTGACTCTCTTAAATGCGATGAGCAACAGTGGTCGTCCTACATTGTCATAATGGAGACCCTGGAAGAGCACCAATCGCATTTAGTGCTGCCCACCCTGAGCACGTTGCTGCCCCGTATTGCGGAGAGCAATCAGGAGGATAATTGGCTAATTTGGCTACGCATTCTATATGTCCGGCTATTGCAGGACAACAACATATTGGTGTTGCGCTGGACATTGGAATTTTTCTTTAACCGGTTTGACGTGTCTAAATTGTGTCGATACAAGCTGCTACCTGAATTCCTAGCAGCCACAAACAGAACACAGTTGTACAATGTCGAAAGCTACTTTTTGCCAGAGATAAATATGAAGCTCTTCATGTCGGACGAGACACAGGCACAAGAGTTTCTGGAAGCACTGGCCACAGTGCCCTGGCACTCCGTTCCACTCCACTTTTGGCTGAGCAAATTGCAGCCCATTAAAGCTGTTCTCATTAACAAAAAAGTGCTCCTGCAGCTCAGCTCACGAGTTCGCGCATTAACCAATGCAACGTTGCGACAAAAAGCTAATGAACTTGTGTTCAATCTCCTCGAGGTAAATTTCCGCTTTCCGCATACATTAAATATTATTAATTAATTTTATTTACATTATTATAGACGTCTATTAGCAGCTTGACTCTGGGCGATTATCTGATCTTCATTGAGACGCTTTTTAATGTGAGCGATAATTTTTATGACCATATACGTTTGAAAGCAAAGATACAACATTGCGAGAACTTCAGCGAAGAGATCCCTCGTTTCAACAAACGTTGCGGTGAAATTATCTTTAAGGATGGCATTATGATATTCATTGATGAACTTTTAAAACAATTACGTACATTGCCTAGCTCTCAGCACGGTTGGTGGCGCTTCTTTCCAATCTTCAACATGAATGACATGGAGCCTGAGCAACAGCAGACATGTTTGCATTATTATAGAACTCAATATAATATCGATACTGAAATGTTTGAGAAGAGTGCAAATCTTGAGGAACTGCAGCAACATATGTTGCAACGTCTGAGCTGTCAAACCAAAGATGAAAAGTCGTTTGTGCTGGAGCACTGCGTTGATTGCTTTGTGCGGGCTAACCTCGAGAACTGGAGTCAATTAAAGGAGCTGCATTTACAGCCTTGTGATCTTCTAGAAAGTGGCACAAAAGCAACGTTGGCTCACTTAACCCAATTATTGGAGTTTAGCGACACAAGAATCGAAGACGAAGCAAACGTGCTTTCCACCGTGATAAACCTGTCGAATAAGCATCCCAACTGTGATGGAGTGTAAGTAAAAATAATGAAATCTTAATATTACTATCCGTTTCTATATTTAATAAATTAATGTATTTTTGCAGAGCTGCGAGCGTTGTAAGCTATGCGATAAAGTTTTTAAGTGATGATGAAAATACGAAACTTGTAAGAGATACAGTTAATAATCGCAATGGTCTCATATCGTGGTATATTTTAACCAACGCGATTCCCAATTCCTTGATTCTTGAAAGTATCCTAAATGGCGAGATAACCACCGGAGACGCTCGGTAATTACACTGAATAACAAATTAAAAAGTTAAAAATATATATATATTGTTTTCTACACAGCATTGAATTGGCATATATCGACAGCCTTAGCAATAATCCATTCGACGATGTTGATCTGCGTACCAGATCCATATATTTCCTCAAGCAGAAACCTAAGCCGGATATAGTAAATGCCATCTGCAGTGAACTCCAGGATATTAACAAGGAGTTGAACGTGAAGAAACCGCGTTACTATGAAAATTGTAAAGAGCATAGAATCAAAATACGCATTGCTAGAGCACTTTTAATATTGAAGGACGGAATCAAATGGTCCGCTGAGATGTGGAACGCTGTGCTATCGCTGAATGATCAGCTAAACATTAGCTATATGTATGAATGCCTTGTTGCTCAGCTACTTCCTGACATCAAAGAGTTGATGGATCGAATGCAATCAATGGCAACGCTCAAACCTAGTCAGCAGGTATCAATTATTTCCATTGCCCATATATATTGCTTTTTGAATTGGAAAGTCCTTGAGTTGACACAATTACAATGCATTGTAAACTTGCTGTTGCCGCACACAATGGGAGCGCACTATCAAACCCGACTCTTCGCTCAGCTCGTTTTGCATAAGCTTGCAGTAAAGTGCGAATCAAACAGGTAATTTTCATTATAATTTTTTACTATATTATATATTTTTATATCAAATTAATTTCTTAACTGTTTGTAGTATGGAATGGCCTATTCTCAATACAATAAAGGCTAGCATTGAAACGACTCTGGGCTCAAAGTTGCACGAGTTGAACAATGAAACCCGTCTCTTACTACCGGAAATAAGCTCAAATTATTCAAATGCTGATATTATTTTGTACATGACAAATACGCCATTTGATGAATATAAAAAGCCTATGATCACTGATGAGGCGCTTAGAGCGAAGGTAGAAGGGACGCGAACTGCATTGAAAGCGAGAAGGAATCCAACCCCAATTATGCCGGAAGTTCTAGTCAAGGCGGCTAATTTAAATGTTCAGCGAAAAATTAATCCTATTAACGATATTTATACAGACAATGACTTAGAGCAAAGTTCAGAGCAATTGAATGAGCAGGAGCTCATAGTGGTTGCATCTCTCATAGATAAGTTACCCAATCTTGGTGGATTAGCGCGCACCTGTGAGGTATTGGGTGTCAAAACCCTAGTTTTGGGCGCTAAATCTTTTGCGCTCAAAAGTGACTTCACTAATTTAAGGTATGTAACTATTTCTAAAATGAATTGCATGTTGAATTGTCTCTGTTTGATTTCAGCATGACCGCTGAGAAGACCCTTAATATCGCTGAAGTCAAGCCCGCGTCACTGGCCAGCTATTTGATTGAAAAACAATCGCAGGGATACAAAATTGTGGGAGCAGAACAAACAGCACACAGCACTAACTTCACAGATTTTAAATTTCCTGAAAAGTGTATTCTACTGTTGGGGTAATTTAATTTAGAAACGTTCGATATTGTTTAAATATTAATTATTAATTCTTATTATTTGTTATAGGCATGAGAAGCACGGGATACCAGTTGATCTGATAGCATTATTAGATTTTGCTGTAGAAATACCACAATTTGGTGTGGTGCGTTCCTTAAATGTGCATGTGACTGGCTCTTTGTTTATTTGGGAATACTGCAAGCAGCATATCAAAAAGTAAAACTGTATACATCCATTAAGGATCTGAGATTTAAGAAATGTTTTCAATATACCCCAAATTCGCTTTAAAATAATTTTAAATCACATTTATGAAAAAAAGAAATACCAATAAACATATTTGTTTTTTACTATATTCACAATTTTGGTTAGTTAATTTCTTGGCGGTTTTAAGTGCAAATTATGTTAATTTATTTTTAAAATATAAAAGCGAATTTCAATTGGTTGAGTTAGTGCACCTGCATTAAATCGATAACAAAAAAGTATCAGCTTATCGATGAAATAAAATTGTCGACAAATGTATCGATTCCGTTCGCGAATAAATAAACAAATAACAAAACAAGAAAACTAAGGGGCAAATCGTAAATAAGATGAGTTTCTCCGAAAATACTTCTGATTCTGACTGGTAAGCACTGTTAAGCATAATAAGTCCCCAAGTAAAAGCATTAAAGTACATTTAGGAAAGATGCAAAAATCAAAGAAAAAGGTAAAGTGAAAACTGGATGTGGGAAACAGAAATACAGCCAAAAGTTTTGTGAAAAATGGCTTAACCTTTTTGAGCCATGGCTTAGGCGATCCGCTGATGATCCTAACAAACCATTCTGCCGGGCTTGCCAATGTCGTTTGGATTGCAATCGTTGTCATTTGGTGAGACATGAACGTACAACGAAACATAAAAGAAATTTGGAGTCACTGGTGACCAAGGGAGAAGGTGCTGTGAGAAAGGAGTTAAGTGTACGCCAAGAACGTAGCAAATACTACCACCAGCGAAAGCGCGCCCTTAAGGAGGTGAAACAGGAGCCAGTGAGCACAGTACAGGAAAATGATCTTTTAGAGATGGAGCCAATTACACAAATTACACCTAATGGGGTCGTCGAAGAGAGGTAATAAATATTTTCCTTATAGCAGGCAGTATTTGAAGTAATGTTTAATGGCAGCACCCATAACTTCGAGGTAATTGAAGAGCCCGCACAGGAACTGCTCCAAGTAACACCGATTGTCAATACGCAAGCAGCTCTCATGACAGCAAATAGCGCAAAACCGGAACCACCAATTATTAAATCGGTCCCAAATCGCAACGCTAACGCTTCATCTAATAAAGAAGGACTGAAACTATTGATGCAAATCCAGCAGGACAAGAACGAGCTAATGGAATCATTTCGAGACCTGATTGGAGTTCAATTACCGCACCCACCATTAAGAGAGAAAAATCATGTTGATCTGTTCTTCGAAAGTGTGAGCTCCAGCGTTAAAGCGCTTTCTCCAAAACTCATCGCGGAAGCAAAAATGAGAGTATCGCAGCTCATTTGTGAACTCGAGCTGCGTGGATTAAGAGATAATGATGAACAAGGAGATCCCACTGGTATAGAGATGCCAATTACACCAATGGTAAACAATGGTCCCCTTATGGCTCAGGAGACCAATGGAGACCAACGCATAGCTAATTGTTTTAGATCTATGACATAAAATAGAAAGCCGGACTTATGATGCAAATATAATTATAGGAGAACTAGATCTAATTTGTAAAAAAAAAAAAATTGTAAATAGTTTTAATTGGATATAAGTGGCTAATCCCATACCTGTATTTTGAAATAAAAGAATCGATTCATCGTATGTAACGTGAAAAATGTATCGATATATAGTATTTTGGCATGACACATCACTATTAGCCGGTGTCGCCAAATTGTATACAAATATACATAATAAAAATCGTTTGGCAACACACCTCCTACCACACTACTTAGCGAACCTACAGCTGTAAATATTAATTTAATTGTTAAGTTTATAAATCTTTGTAATATTTTTCATCCAATTTAACTTCCAACATTCACGTCGATGGCCCTCGTAGCTAGCACGTTTAATAATTTTTAGATTTATATTTTTTATATATTATCTAATAAATAAATAATAATAATAATAATAAAAATCGTTTGCTTGGGAACATTAAGGTAAGCTCTTGCACATAAACGTAGACGTATTCAAGTGTTTAAAACCTATTTTATTTTCAGTCACAAATTATAATAAAGCATCAAAATAGCAGCATGCCATTCAGGCGACATAGCATGAAATCTGAACAAATTCTAGATCGAGAGAAGCTATTGCAGAGCATAGTGCGAGATCGTACCTTATTAAACAATTATTTTCAAGACTTGAGAACAAAAGAATGCCAAAAGACAGATCAAGAACCCCAAACAACGACCCTAAGCCAGAAAACTTTGCATATGCAACAACGGGATAGCTACGATTTGTTTTTTGAAAGCGCTTGTATCAGCATCAAGAGTTTGCCACCTAAACTGGCAGCTGAAGCCAAAAGTCGCATTTCACAGATCATAACCGAATTCGAGCTGCGTGCTATTTCACAGCAGGAAGCGCAACAGGAGAAGCAAAAGGAAAAGCAACAAATAACCAAGACCGGGAGGCTGTCCAATGAATCGCCAATGGATCCTTCATCGGAGATCGTATACGAGTTTGAAGCATACAGTTGAAGGAACTGTCACTGAATTACCTGTCAACATGTTCGATTCGGAAAGAAATTTAGTGTATCTGGGCCTTTTTCACAGGACAGCACCTTAAATTTTATAAATTTTTTTAAATTAAAAAAGTCTTGGCTCTTTAAATATTAGAAATAATTTGGTAACTTTTAAAATTTAGTTTTAATGCTTGTGGCCTCCATTCGGAGTTGAATTGTAAAAATTGATTATGTCAAAAAATCCTAAAGTTTGCATCATTGGATCGGAAGGCTGGTAGGTCCACACACCAAATGATTCTTTCTGCCTTCTTACGAAGTTTTCTTTATACGTGTTTCAGGGGATCAGCAATTGCAACCGCTGTGTGCCAGAATGTACTCCACTATGATTTCGATCCCCAAGTTAACATCTATGTGTACGATGAGATTGTGAGAAACAATTACCTTTCACAGGTCATGAATGAAAAACACGAAAATATTAAATATTTGCCCGGAATAATGCTGCCCAACAACTTGGTAAAGTCCACTTATTAAATTACTTTTGTATAGTTTACTGAGAATCCATTGCATTTAGGTTGCAGTCAATGATCTTATTGATGCTGCTCGAGATGCAGACATATTAATCTTTGCCACGCCGCATACCTTTTTGAAAGCGTATTGTAATATATTAGCGGACCATGTGAAACCGGGGGCCTATGCTGTTTCATTAGTAAAGGGACTCGAGCACATTAAAGATGGGGAAATTGATCTCTATTCGCATGCCATTACAAAGCACTTGGGTATACCATGCTATTCAATGATGAATGCTAACAGTGCCATGGAAATGGCACAGGGTAAACTCTGCGAGATCACTATTGGCTGCAACAACCAAGATCATGCAAACGAATTGACTAATTTGATTCAGACTGAAAATTGCATGGTCTTTGCCATAGACGATGTTAATGGAGTGGAATTATGCAATTCCCTAAAGGATTTGGTTGCGCTAAGTGCCGGCTTCATTGATGGCTTGCGATTGGGAGATAATGCCCGTGTGGCTTGCCTTCATCTGGGCTTAAAAGAAATGATGCGTTTCATCAAGAATTTTAATCCAACAACGAAAGTGTCTACCCTATTCGAAAGTTGTGGGTTAGCAAATTCCGTGGCGTCCTCCTATGGTGAGTAACAATTAACTGCAATACAGTAAGTGGGAACCTGTTGATAATACCCATATTTTCTTTCTAGGAGACAAAAATGTGACATTTGCCAAAAACTTGGTTACTTCGAGAAAAACAATACCGGAAATCGAAGCAACTCTTCTGAGCGGTCGCAAGTTGCTTGGGCCCATTATTGCAGAAGAGGTCTATGCATATTTGGAAAAGTCGAATTTGCATGAAACGTGGGTTTATAATAAATCGTCAGTATATATCTGTACTATCAATAACATTTCTTTTAAAGGTATCCATTGTTTTCGACTGTACATCGAATTTGCCAGAGGGAGGTGCCACCGTATGAAATTGTTGAAACCCTCCGTAATCATCCGGACTTGAGGTTCGTATGATTCTTTTGTTTTTAAAATCTTGCTGATTATTCAATCCTATTCTATTATAGCAATTACTCCATCACCAACCTGCAGAAAGATGAGTTTTCAATTTTCTCTTCCAACGCAGATAGTGTTCTTGAGAATATAGCTGACACAGTTCCCGATTTCAGTACTGATTCAGCTGATAGCAGCAGAAGGGTTGAGGAATTGAATGACGAACCCATTTTTAATTCCACTTCAGACGATGGCTTTTGGAAACCATATTTTGATTATTTCAATGATCAAAGTAATTCGAGAGAGCTAAGACATGTTGCTCGTAACTCTAATACTGCAGCTGAAACTTGTGCATCGGATTCCGATAAGGGAAGCATGGAATTTTCTTTTGAAATGGGAGCGATGAAGGACGATCCAGAAATTTGTCTTCAGATTAAGGACACATCAGTGCCGAAGGAGGACCTCCTGCTTATCGGCTCACAATATACTGCGAATCAAAATCCTACTGATAGTAAAACCTCGAGCCATGGAAAGCAAACACAAATCAATCCGATAGTAATGTCAGATGGGAATACGACCCCCGATAACCCTATGCCAATGCAATACCAAGGCAGGCCGCGAATTGATAAATATGAAGAGTTGAAGGTGCGGGTTAAGGGAAAAGAGAACCCCCCACCGGAGACTAAAACAGTGGCACAATCAAAATCGATCGATGAACGATTTGGGGAAAACGTTGGAGACCGAACAACGAGAAAATCAACTGCGCTTAGAAAATCGAAGTCGGCTGACAATGACAAAAGGATGCCTAAGGAAAATTCTTATGAAATGCGTTTATTTGAAGACGATCCTCAACAGGAGAAGTTTCTAGAAATGATGCGCAAAAGGGAGAAAGATGAATTGGACCTGAAGTTATTAAAAAGATCAACAATTGAAAACAAAATAATGAGAGAATATGTGGAAAAACCAAACAAAAATATTGCCAAAGAGAAAAACGATAGATTGAGAATGGACTTGCCTACAAAGAACACTAATAACAAGCCCTCCAATTCTGAGGGTAGTTTCAAATACGACTATAAAATAAGTATAAGGTCAAAAAAGGTTCCGATCGATCCTTCAAAGGAAAAGAATCCATCAAATTCAACCAAAGCTGAGCTAGATGCGCAGGGTAACTGCAACCAGAACATTCCCGAGAAATGGGAACAACTATCGTTGAACAAAGGCAAATTAGAGTTCCAAGAGAAGCTGCCAAAGTCGATGTTACTAAAGCCTATAACATTTCGAATAAAGCCTATCGAAACAAAATCAAATACCAAAATTGAGATGCAGCAGAGATCAAATAATGTGACTTCAACAGATTCATCATTTCTGGCACCCGGCTACAATAACGAACTGGCGTCAAGTAATCTAACTGTCCAAAGCGAGATAGCTAATGAGTCGCAGGAAATGTGCAAGAGTGTTCCCATGGAACCGATCGGGGCTAATCAACAATCCGAATATTTCAATGAACAGAACGACAAGTTTTCTCCTGGTCAATTAACTGAGAAAGGATATTATATATCTTCATTGTCTCCGCGATTTTCAGTCGAGGACGTACAACAACTTAAAGCAATGGAAGACTACGAGAAAATGGAAGCATGCGGCATAAACGCCAGAGATGGAGATGCTTCGAAACAAAATTTGGAAAATACCATTGAAATGAAAGCCAAAGGCACATCAGATTGGAACCATCAACAACAGCATGATGATAAGACAATGGATAAAAACACGAGATGGATACGATTTAATTATGACGAGGCTAGACGTGTTTGGCAGCCGGAGCGGAAGAATAACAAATTGGTTCAGGATTTAGAAGCGGAAGTGGAGAATACTATTCTAGATACCGAGATACCTAAAGAAATTGAAAGCAGAGACAGGTCGATGAAAAACAATCGCGGGGATGAAAATCCGAAAGAGGAAGTGAAACAAAAGGAAAGAAAGCGCAAGGAGCACAAGTTAGAACGAGCCAGACAAGACAAAAAGAAATCAGAAATGGTAAATATACAGGATGCAGAGGATATTTTAGATGAACATGAATTTAAAGAGTCGGACGAAATTAAAAAATATGGTCAGTATTTGCAGTTTAGTCAGAAAGGGCAACCAATTTTAGATCGATCTCAAATAGACGAAGATATCAATTTTATGGCAGCCAATCAGTCAGAGAATATGCGGTCTAGACATGGAGAAATCAATACGCTGCTAGATAGCCAAGAGAAAAATAACAATCGTGACAACAGAACGAAACTTACGAAACAGACAGTTCCGTCTGACGCGGACCGGACAACTCGGAAAAATTGGCAGCTATTGCCCTTTAGTGGAAGTCAAGTGAAAGATGAAGCTAAGGATCTTCAAAAGGTTGATGCTAAATTTAGAAGTGCACAGACGTTTCCGTTGGATATGGAACCCGCGAACACTCAAGTCGCTAGAAAATATGTTGAGAATATACCAAGTATAAAGAGCCGACAGAGTACAGGAATTGATCGGAATACAGAAGATACGGGAAAGGTTCGCGGCAAAACTGGAAAGCATACTTCAGAATGGGATTGGCTGTTGGATAGTGAAAAGTTTGACAACTCTCTCAAGCAAGAAAAGAATGTTCAAGCTCTGGATGCCTACAAATATAGTCATCTAGCTGATTTTATTGCCGGAGAGGATAGAAAGCAAAATAAAAGACAACAAATAGAAAAGGAACTCGAACGTCAGCAGAGGCTGCACTATAAAATGAATAAGAGTTCTCAATTGCCAGTCGAAGACACGCGAGCACAGTTTAATGAAGTCATAACAGAGGACGAGTCAATGGATCAGGTCAGATTAATGGATAGACAAAAATTGAATATGCCGATAAGCACATCAATGCTCAAAGCCAAATCGAGTGCTGAGCGGCCAACAGAGGTAGATAATCCAGCACAAGCAAAGGGCAGAACCAGTAAATTGTCATCAACACAGCCCACCGAAACGCCTAGAAGAGAATGGCGTCAAGAAAGGATTGCGTTGGAGAAATCGAAAACACCGAACCAGCGCGAAGACCTTTCACGCTCGGCCACCCAATCGAATATAAATGAGACTGAAACGGAGCCCAATCAAACGAAACTCAAGCGAATGGAGACGCAAATCAGTAAAATAAGCAAAAGATTAGCGAAAATCATGACAAAGGGCCAGCCAGGCCAAGAAAAGTATAAAGAGCGACCCGTCGCCTATGAGGGCAACGATCCATATAACATAGAGGAGGGTGATAGGACGACCAACTCTTCCCCTAGACAGGTTCGCGAGCAGCAACAGGGTAGAGTCAATAGAAAGGTCTCCATCAAGCCATTCCATCCGCCGCTCAATCCGCGCGTGCGCATTCCACGTCCTCCATTCGATGTGCGAGATCAGGAGTACCACACCATGAGCTACCGCCGGCAGAGTGAGCTGCATCGCAACGCGATTCTGCCGCAGAAGCCGTTGTCGGTTGCATCTCAGTCAATGCATGCGAGCGCCAGTGTACCAAAGCTGACCCGTCCCGTCTTGAAGCTACCGCCTTTCATGATGCGTTCCTCCGTTTT